ATCTGCCTCCTTTCCCTGCTAGCCAAGTACTGCCATTAAAGCCACTTCTAGCTACATCCCACAACTTTAAAATTTGTTTCCATTGCCAACTGGAATCAAGTTTGAGTTCTATCTCCCAAAGGGTGGCCCCCTTCACATAGACTTCATTAATCCACTTCATCCACAAAGATTCCTTATTTAGAGCTAGCTGCCACACTTGTTTTAGAATGGTTGCTTTGTTCCAAATACTAGCATCCCTTAACCCCAGTCCACCTTCATCTTTCCTCCGACAAACATCTTCCCATTTAACCAAGGATCCAATCCTATCCCCTTCCTTCCCACCCCATAAAAAGTCACGACATATTTTATTTACCTTGCTAGTTATAGATTGAGGCTGAATCAAGACAGAACCCCAATATGAATGCATTGCCATCAAAACTGAGTTGACAAGCATGGCTCTCCTAGCATACGACAAGTGTTGTGTACTCCAACATCTAACCCTAGCCACAATTCGATTAATAATCACCTGACATTCCACCTGAGGCCACTTCTTAGGTGACAGAGAAACACCTAAATACCTCATAGGAAAAAAAACTAACGAGAACTTGGTAAGGTCACAAATTTTCTGTTTTAGATCTTCTCCTACACCTCCAAAATATATAGAAGATTTCTGATGATTAGCATAAAGGCCAGTAGTTCTCGAAAACCCACCAAATACCCCCATTATTTTCTGAACAGTTTCCAACATCTGTTTTGCAGATGATCACAAAGACCCCCATTATTTTCTGAACAGTGTCCAAATCTGCTTTGCAAAAGATCATAAGCTCATCTGCAAAGCAGATGTTGGTAAGTTTCAACTTCTCAGATTTAGGATGGCATTTAAATCTAATCATCAGTCATAGCTTTCAAGCTTTATTTCTTCTTTTGTACTGGTCTGATCAGTCTTACTTGTTGTTCCACAGTGAGTACTGGTCCTTGCTTAAAAACTTCCTGATTGGGCTTAACTCGATCAGAAGCCCGTCCCAATTGTGCCTGGTAAAATCGTAAGAAGTGGCCTTCAATCTCCTTCCAATCATTGATCTCCCTCCCCGAATCCTCACAAACAGACCAGATTTGATTTCGCATCTGCTTGACCTTTAGAAGGGAATAAAAGTATTTTGAGTTTTCATCCCCTTTCACTATCTACCTCTCTTTAGCCTTTTGTTGTAGAAAGTTGTTGGCTACTTTACTCAACTAAATATAGTTCCTGAAACCTTCCCTCTCAGCTTGCTATTTGCCTAAGTTGTGTGGATCATTGCTAAGTTGCTCCTATAAAACCTGCAGCTGAGCCCTAGCCCTTGTAGCTTCTTCATATTCTGGAACTATTCTCTATTTAACTTCTTCAACTGGCCTTTCAGCCGTTTCAATTTCATACAAATTTGGAACATTTTAGTACCTTTGATCTCCTCCTTCCACACATCCTTTACAATATTCAAGAATTGCTAAGACTGGCTCCACATGTTGAAATAGCGAAAAGGTCTTGACTGTTGTCTTATCTATTCTTCCAATTTGACCTCTAAGGGTGTGTGATCTGATACACTCTCCATCAGAACAGTGACCACTGATTGCGTATATTCATCAATCCATTCCCATTTACGAAAGCCCGGTCAAGTTTGTCATAAATTCTATCATCGCCGACCCTCTGATTACACCAAGTGAAATTTTTCACAACCTATCGAGATCCTTTACTTCACATGTGTCAAGGCAGTTCTGAAAATGTTCAAAGTCTTGTAACTCAACCATCCGGCCTCGAATTTTCTCCTCCAACTTCAAGAGATTGTTAAAATCCCCCATTAATAACCATGATGCTTTGATAGTCTGTGCTAGGGACATCAAGTCAGTCCATAGAACAGCCCTTCTTTCAGCCTCATTATGTGCATATGTCCTTGTAAACATGAATACTCTCCTTTCTTTTTTATCTTCATAGTGGCAATGTATGAACTGATCAGTCTGAAACTGTGGGGTCATTTCAAATGTGTCATTCCATAAAATAGTAATTCTACTTCTACCATTACTACTATAACTAGTAACCCACTTCCAACCCTGCCAATGTTTGTTTAGATATTCCCCCATTCTTCCCCTGAGTCATTTTTGTCTTTACCAAACATAAAATACTGTATTTGTTCACTTGTACCAACCTGCTTAACTCTTTTTGCTTGAGGGGAGAGTTCAACCCCCTGATATTCCAAGAGAGTATACTACACATTGGAATTGGGACCAGGATGGAAATCACTTTCCTTAATCCCAACTCTTCTGTGAATGGTAGCATTAGTCACTGATGGGGTAGCAGCTTTTTTGGCTATCTCAGGTTGAGATTGCACAGCAGTTGCTTCCTTAGTAACTAGACTACTGGTATGCCCCTATATTTCATGGCCATTTACTCCATTAGTTCCAACATGCTTGCTTTGGTCCACAGTAACAGCATTCCTGAGTTCCTTACAGTTTTCCTTAGAATTTGCCTCCTTATCAGGTGCCTTTGTTATTACCATCTCCTGAACTTGCTCCACTGGCCTTGCCGGTTCTTTTTCTGCTCTACTCCACTCTATTTGTGGTGTTTTCTGAGTTCTTTCATTCCTCTTATTCCCCAATCTACAATGTATTGTCTGATGTCCATATCCCATACAACAACTGCATCTAGTAGGCAACCACTCATAAGTAACCTTCTGCACTTTTATATTACCAACCTTATCTTCAAAAACGATTTTATCAGGCACAGACTCACTGATCTTCATCTCAACTAGTACCCTAGCATATTGTACTCTATCTTTCTTAACAGTGCAGTCATCAGTAGTAGGGGACATCCAATAGTACTGACCAAACTGTTCAGAGAAGCTAAGTTCTAATACTTTAGTTCAAGACCATGCATTTGAATCCAAACTGGGACACTATCTACCTCCTTATAATTCAATCCCATTTCCACAGTCCAGGGCTTCACAATCAGAGGTTTAAATCCAAATTGAAAGAAATTCATGCCTAGTACTTCATCTCTAGCATGTAAAGTAGTAAATTGGACAACAAACAAACCACTAGGAAGCCTGATTACCTTATCTATGCCAAGCTTACACCAAAGCTTCTGTAAATAATTTTCCATTACCCGAGTAGGCGCAGCACGAAGCAAACCACATATGGTTCCCAATAGTCTGCTTCCTTCTGCACATCTTCCCGTTTGAATTTTGCTATATTCTGCCCATCAATTTGACGAGGTTGCACAAACTGCATCTTGCCCGTAGGCACTCTGTATTTGTTGATGTCAAATTTCTCCCACTTATTGCCACTGTTATCCTTCGCCGCTTCCTCAGATCAATCGATTTGCCTTCGGGTTGTGCCTGGTCGAACCCTAGTGTCATCCACCACCTTGCCAGAAGGACACCCCAAACTTAATTGACTAGATCACCCAATTTCTAGAACCCTAGCTTCCACCAAATTCTGACTCTCCTTGCGTTCAGTAGCAGCTTTACCCCCCTTTTGCTTCGAAGTGTTTTCAATATCCTCCACCAATTTGTTCAATTCATTCTCTTGATTTTCCAAAATCTTCTTCGAGTTCACCTTTGTTCGCAGCCCCTCCCCGGAATGAGTCCCATCTACAGTTGCAAGATTGGTTGTAACCACAAGATCTGGTGTTAATTGCTGTTTCGCCGGTCTTCCTCTCTTCTTCCTGCCGGCCATGGCTGGCGCACGATAGTGGCGTGCACCGAGAGAGAAGGAAGAGAAAGTTCCCAATGTTATATATTCAAACTATGAATTATTCAACGTATAAAATTAGAAAGAAAAAATTCATCCTTTAAATGGTATACACCCTAACAAACCAAAGGTTCCCTCTAAGATTAAAAGAAAAAAAGAAGAAGACAATTCTCATTTATTGTCTATTTTGTTATTATGGCAATAATAGTCAAAGTCAGTCTGTTTCACGCAAGTAGGTTTATACTTTATAATATATATATATATATATATAAATATATATATCTAAAAGTATATTTATAGTGTTCAACACCAACGCTTATGATAACATATTTTTTAATATAACTCAAGAATTAAAATAACTCGTGAAGCACGAGCTAAGATATAGTAAATTAATAATTTTGAGTAATTAATTATTTTCTCCCGTCCCAACTTGGGATAGTACAAAAAAATGAATAAACTTGATAAAAAAAAATAAGATAATGATATTTTAGAATATCCTGTGTATTTATAGGTCCCAACAATACCGTAAATTTGTAATAAATCTTAAATGAATATAATAATAATAACTATAGTTACTTAGTAAAATACGATATATTAATGCGTGTTTTTTTGATCCATGAAGAAGATGTAAACTAAGTATGTGTTTTAATTGGTATTGAAAAGAGTCACATGTCTACTTGATTCTAACTATATAGATGGTAGAAAGTACATCTGATATAAAGAAACTCTTTAAATTAATAATTATTTGTTTATTGATTATTTAATAATTATCTAAATTAATAAATGGTACCGCCTTGAATTTCCCTCTAAAAAAAATCTAAATTAATAAATTGTGATGATCCCAACACTATTCACTTATAAAAGTTTCAATGTACCTTTAAATATGCCCATTTATATGCTCTTTATTTTTCTCCCCACCTTCATGATTATTGTAAAAAATTTCTCACAACACTAATTGACATTCCAAGTCCATTAAATTAAGATTTGGAAATGTTTTTCTTTCTTTTTCTGTTTTTTTTTTTTTGAAAGATCAAAATTTAAATAAAAGAAAGTGACGTTTATTTCTTTGAGGCCATAATCTTGAAGATAAAATATTTATCTTATTGAGGCCATAAAATGTTTTTTAAAAAAAATTGCCCTATCTAATTAAAAAAATATATTAATTTGTAGGCAGTGAAAATAATTGTATAAAAAAATAATTGTACATCTAAATTTAACAACTCATGATCTTTTGCGGCTGAGAAAAACTTATAATAAAACAAACTAAATTGGGTAACAATGGTCGTATACATTGTTAACACATTTAATGTGGAGTTGATAGGGCAGCGCAATTAGTTAGAAATATTATATTTTCTTATTAATATCCTATGAGTAAATCTCTTTTATAATGGAAAGAGGAAAAAAATAACTATAAAGAAGCTCAAATTTTCAAAGCTTTCAAAACAAATGGCGTCAAAAAATTCACCAACTTCTCTTCCTCCTCCACCCTTCCCCTTCGGTAATGGCTGAACTGGAAATGCTTAATTCTTTCCTTTTCCTTTTACCACTGGCTAATTTTGAATCTCATATTTTGATCTATCTAATAATTGTTTTAATTTTTTAGGGAATTGCGAGGTTTTTCTGGAAGCCAAGAAGTTCACCTCCACCCAAAACAGCCTGCAGATCACCTTCACCAAGAATGTCAAAGTGAAAACCTCAGGTAATTACTAGTTACTAGTATTATATTCATAATCATTGGTTTAAGCATTATAGATTTGTTTGTTTCTTCGGTGTTGCAAATAAGGATCCCTAATTACTTGTAATTTTGGTAGTGGTGGATGGGATCTAGAAATGAAGATGAGGATGTTCTTGCATTGGGGTCTGAGGAAATCCGTACAGCTGGAGAAATATGTTTACTGAACTTTTTTCCCACCTTTTGCAATCAAAGTTTTGAAACTTGATTGTTGTATTTTATCATATTTAGGGGAGTGCTAGTAGTATTTTGTACTGGTGAACCCCAAAATATAGATGAAGTTACCAAATCTTTAGTACAACTAGTACAACCTCTCATTTATGTCTAGCCTATCTTCCTGTCCAAAAAAACTTCTAATCTTTAAGATGTCTGTATCAATCTGGAGAAGCACCCCTTTTACTCCTTGGCTGAAAGCTGCGATTTTCTAAGCCTTCAGACCGAAACATGTGTTAATTATTACTGGTTATATCATTTTTTTAAAAAGGAAAATTCAGGGCGGTACCTGACGGGAGGTCCCCGATTTTATTAATTTGAAAAAAAGAAATTACAAAAGACAGTGCATAAAACTTATCCAACAGAAAAAAAAAGATCCGTCTTACAAGAATTTACTAAAATTCCACGACGGATCTAGTGCAAATTCCCACTAAGTAACTGCTTTACAAAGATATTCTATAATCCCATGGCAGTACTTTATAAAAAACTATTAAAATTAAGAGCTATCTCACAAAGATTTAACTACTAATCTCATGATAGCTCCATTATAAAACTAAATAAATTACAAAAGAAAATAAAATACTATCTAGTGCTTTACTATAAAGTACTTTGTTCATTTAACGTGCCGATAGGGAGTAGATAGTTTGTCAAGAAGTAACAAACCAAGAGTGTATGCAGGGAGCTGAGATTGGTGATCAAATGTGAAAGATGTTCCTTCAGACACTATCTTAGCCAAAGAGTCAGCTACAGCATTTACCTCATGATACACATGCATAGATGTGTATGCATGTCTATCCAAAATAGCCTTAATTTCGCGCAACATTGATCTACTCTTCCAAGGGAAAGGAGAATGAGAATGAAGAAGATCAATCAGGACCTTATTATCCGATCTAACTTGGACTTGTTGTAGTTGTAGTTGCTCACATTTTTTCTATAGATTACTGGTCATATCCCTTGATTGTAATTTTTTATAGATTTTGATTGCTGCGGAACATCTCAGATGAGAGTGATGTATACAATATCACAGTTTGCTCTAGATAATGACAGTTTTAGTGTTTTAGACAATATATATGAGCTCACAGTTCCTATATGTGGTTAAATCTTGTTTTCTTTTTTGTTTTTTCCCTTTTTTTCTTTTGGTGCCAAAATTTTAAGAATGTGCAAACTAGAAATGATATTCTAGTACGGAAATTAGTGAATGGGTACTTTTTAGTTCTGTGCTCCTGATTTCTTACCTTAATGAGAGGTCATCTAGCTGCACTGGCGGAGCTAGGATAAAAATTCATTGGGGGCACACATTTATAACAAAGCAAGGAAGAAATATTAATAACACACCTAAAACATGTTTTTCTTTCGTTATTTTTTAGATAATTGACCTACTTAAGAAAAGGATTAAAATCATATCACAACCATCTCATTGAAAGATATAACATAAATTTGTTGTTTACATATGTTTGGAATGATTTTCCACATCTCAATATAAAAGATAATCATTTATTAAAACAAGCATTTAAAGTATGTTTTTCTTTCAAGAGTCTATGTATAAGATGGTGTTTAAGTAATTATAGATCTTAATACTTCCTTCGTCTCAAAAGAAAAAAAAAATTTGTCGAACTTGAATTTTGAGATTTTGTACCAAGTTATGGAAAATCAGTAATATCACAATTGCCTTAGATGGAGTATTATATTTATAATATGTAGGAAACTTTCATACGTTGTGAAATTCTAATTAAAGGGGGTCAAAATTTAGCTGATACGAATTTTAAACCATGTATATAACAAGTATACAAATTATCAACAGAAATAACAACTCATGAAAGGACTTGGACTTTGGGGGTAGAAACGTCAGGACTGCTTCAAAAGGCTAAGTTTGGGACCTGCTTACAACAAGAAAATTGATGAGAATAAGAGGAACTTCTTTTACCACTGTTGATCAGCCTAACATCAACAACCATATCAAGAGTAAACTTTTATTAGATACATTGATATAATACATATATATATATATATATACACCTAGGAAATTCATGGACTCCCCCCAGTGCCCCCACTGTAGCTCTGCCCCGACTAGCTGTTCTTAGCAAATAATGGTGGTTATCTACGTTAGCCTTCTGACATGCATTATTCTTCTGAAGTTTATCTCAAATTGCACCCAGAACACATGGAGGAGAAAACTCACATTTAGAGGGAGAAAAACCAATGGTTAACAACTTCTGAAGCTGGCAATTTGATTACTGAGAGATTCCTTATTGATGGTAGGTGAAATTGCTGGCTGATCTATATATCCATGTGGTAAATTGTTTATGCCAACATACGCAATATCCAGGTAAGATAAATGGATGTAATTTCCCTTCTTGACTATTTCCATACAATCTGTGACATCTGTGGCACTTGAGGCAAGGAATTACTTTGAAGCAGTAGGACTACCTAGGAGTTTGTTATGTTAATGTCCTAAAGAACAACTTGCAGCAGTGTGATTGCTCCTTCCACCTTCGGTCCCACCAACACCCCCACGCCTCCCGATTTTTTTTCCTGATGCATTCAATGGAATTGTGAAATATTTTGCAACCAAACCAAACAGACTATTGCAAGTAAGATGTGGAGTGAAATGAGTATTTCACTAAGGACTTTGTGTATCGAAACTTTTATTTCACACTGTTGGATTTTCAACTCTATTTCATGCACAGATTCTCCAACTTTATCTTGGACAAGTGAAGTTCAATCTTTCCTACGTGGGCTAGAATGTTACCTTTCTTTTCAAATTGTGTATTCTTTTGTTAACAGATACGATTTCTTGTCATGTTTTGCAGGATCTAACAAGAACTGCATTCGATCTCTGGGTTGCCAGAATGCCAGTTGTTTGGAACTTCTTGGTTTTAATATAGGGAAAATATTGATTTTAAATAAAAGTGGAGAGGAGATAATGTCAAAAGATATTCATCTTCAACAGAAGGAACTACGAAAAGGACACGGGAGTCCTCGCATACCTCATTGAATCCGAAGAGGCTGAAGGGTTGCCATTTCATTGAGTCTCAATCAAATATTAGGATTGTCTCTCTGGAGGTGTTGGAAGAAAGTGTGTTTCTAGTTGGAGTTGACTCCATGAAAACAAATTATTGGTGGATGAAACATCCTTGACAACTTGGAAGAGAATTATAAAGAATGTGCAGCTGCAAATGCCAAGTCAGAAACGCTTGACGGTAAATTTCCATCAAGAGATATGTGCTTCAGAGTATTGCAGATGACATTGTTTTTTTTTTTAGGTAAAAGGTAAATTGTATTGCATATGGAAGACTGTCTCGTATTTACACCCATGTATAGATTTCTCTATCAAAACCCCAACAAAACAAGCTATGCCTAACAAAGCCTAAATATTACAAAAGAGATTAAGACTGTAATAAGTATTGTTCATTAGTTTTCATCTTCTTCAGCTTGCCTCGCATTCTCCACTTAAGCTCATTCCGAATTACCACAAAAACTGCATCCACTGTCGTCTCTTTCCCTGTATGCATCAATTGATTCCTACTTCGCCAAGTGTGATAGTAACCAACTGCTATTGCTGCCACCATTATTTTCTTTCGCAAACTCTTACCTTGCCAGGCATGATCCATACTATTCCAAGTCTACAATTTTAGCCATCTGATTGGAAACTTCAACCAATCTCTGATTCTTTTCCACAGCTCAACCACAAAATCACAATGAATGAAAAGATGATCAAAAGTTTCAGAATACTTGCCACATAAGGGCATGTGTAATCCAACATCACTACTCCCATTTTCTATAGCCTCTCTTTAGTAAGAATTCTCCCCTTCCAGCAGAGCCAAAGTATAAAATAGTGCTTTAGTATATTAAGTCTACTCCATATTGCCCCAGCTGCTTTATGTCTGATCATCCCACCCTTCAGGAACTTATATCCCGAAGATATAGTGTATTGACCATTCTGTAGTGCCTTCCAATTGCTTCCCTGGTAGCCTTCTTTTAGTTTATCTATAACAACTAAGAGTCTTTTCCAGTGCCAGCTGGAATCCTAGACAGTTGAAACTTTCATGAATCCTTCTTTCTTTAAGTAAACTCCATGTAGCCATTTGATCCAAAAATTGTTTTTCCCCTGCATAAACTCCCAAACATGTTTCCCAAACGCAGCCAAGTTCCACAATGCAACGTTCCTGATCCCCAACCCCCCCCCCCCCCCCCCCTCATCTTTCTGCTACCGTACCCCCTACCATGCTACCAGTGATATAGCCCTCCCCGATTCCCTCACTCCACAAAAACTCTTGACACAGCCTTTCAACTTGCGCGATAACACTTTGTGGGAGTAAATACACCATCGTCCAGTATGTATGCATATGCATCAATACTGAATTGATAAGTTGTACTCTTCCCATATACTATAGGTGTCGCGATGCCCACTTTTCATTCGTATGTTATTTTTTCAACTAAACCGTGACAGTCTTTTTGGCTCCATTTTCCCAGTGATAAAGGTACTATTAAATTCCACCCGACATGTGAAAGCCTACAGTATTTAAGGGAAAGCTACCTCTTTCAAGCTATTTTTCAGCACCAAATTCCTGCACTGCTGCAATCATGTCTCTGCCCACAATCTCCCAGCATGCTTTGAAGAATCCACTGCCAAAGCCATCTGGTCCCGGGCTCTTATTCGAGTTGATGCCAAACATAGCAGCCTTGATCTCCTTTTCGGATAACTCTTTGGTTAGATTGATTTGGTCTGACAACTTCACTGTAGGCCCCTATGTGAAGACTTGCATTCTAGCTGGTGATCATCAAACGTCTTGTCCCAATAATTGCTGGAAAAATTGGGTAAAGTGCTGCTCCACCCTTTGCCAATCCTCAACCAGTTCCCCTTGCTCAATTTGGAATGAAATGATTCTATTCCTTGCTCTCTTCTCCTTTACCGTCGCATGGAAATAGCTGGTGTTTTCGTCTCCTTGTTGGCACCAGTTTTCTTTTGCCCTTTGTGATCTAAAAGTCAGCACAGCTTTCTCAATCCTAAGATACTCTTCAACTATTGTTTTCTCATCCTCTTGTAGTCTGCAATCCAGAGGTCTTTTTTGTAGCTCTTCCGTGATGCATTCCAATTTCCTCTAAGCTTCAAGGTAACTTCCTTCAACATCACTAAAGCAATTCCTGTTTAGTGCTTTTAATGGTCCCTTTAAGTCCTTCAACTCTGTCACTAATTGGAATTGCTTTGTGCCATTGACTTCCTGCTGCCACACCATATTCACTATCTTCTTAAAGTCACTGCCTTCAACCCACATATTATAGAATTTGAAGGGTCTTTTCCCAAATACACATTTATGGCTCCAGTGTAGAACCAAAGGGCAATGGTCAAAAATCCCTTCCTTTACTACATTCACATAGGCATCCCCATATTTTAGCATCCAGTCATCTGAACCCACCACCCTATCCAATTTATAACATATTCGATTTATTCCCACCTGTTTATTTGACCATGTAAAAGTACTTCCTTGTGACTTAATTTCTTGCAATTGGCAAGTGTCGAGCATTACCTGGAACTAATCTATCTCCTGCTGCTTAAAGGTTGCTTCACCTACCTTCTCCTCATTCCTGAGAATACAATTGAAGTCACCCCCCATGATCCAAGGAATGCTGGATCGAGGGATGTTCATTAAATCCACCCATAAGTCCACTCTGTCCCTCTGTGAGTTCTTAGCATATATCACAATCAGCAGATATTCCCTTTTCTCCACTAAGTCATGTACCTTACAGTGTATAAATTGCTCAGAAGCAAGTAAATAGTCAACATTAAACTCATTTCTCCTCCATATCACCAGTATCCTCCCCTTGCTGTTTTGTTCTGCATTCTCAACCCATTTGAACTCCTTCCACCATCTCCTCATTATCTCTTCACACTTTACCTTAGTTAGTTTGGTTTCTACTATTCCTACTATACCCACCTGATAACCCCTAGTAATGTTTCCTACCTCTTGATGTTTTAGAGGGTAGTTAAACCCTCTAGTATTCCAAAATAAGATATTACTCATATTAAATCAGGTCCAGGATCCACAGGTTCTTCAGCTTCACTCACCTTACCCCTTTTTTGTACTGCTTCACTCTGTTTCCTTAGGATCATGGTTGTTCCTCTATTTCTCCCTTGGCTTGATCCTGTGTCCCCTTGATAACTGTCCTGTTTACCCACTGTTGTAGCACCCCTTTGTGGTTCAGATGCTTCACCTTTTCCCTTCTGGGATCTTTCCTTTACCTTGATTTCATTCACAGCAATAGTCCCTTGTCTCTTCACATCCTTCTCATCACTAACTGTTGTTATTTTTGTAACTTCTACATCCACAACTTCCTTCATCTTCCCTCCTGTGTCAGGATTGTTCTGTCTCCAAACAGCTTGCATTGGCTGCTTACACACCTTTTTCTCATGACCATAACCTCTGCATTTTGTACACAATACTGGTTTCCACTCATAAACCACCCTTTGCTCCTATAATTTCCCATTTTCATCCACAAACTTGACCATTTCAGGGACCTGCTCTTTAATCTCCATTTCAACCAGCACTCGGGCAAAACCAGCTCTGAGTTTATTGTAGGTCATCTCATCCATTTTTTTTGGTTTGCCTATGAGACTCAGTATTTTACTTAAAGTACTAGCCCTCCAGTACTTTAGTTCCAAATCAAGGAGTTGCAACCACACAGGCACACTAAATATATTAGCACATTTGAAACCATTCTGCACATTCCATTCCTTTACTACCAACGGCTTACTGAAATAGTGATGAGCAACATTCAAAGCCATTGTCTTTGCTTGTCCATTCCTCAATTGCACAATATAGTATCCTCCTCTTGCCTCAAGATCTTCTCAATGCCCAATTTTCCCCACATTTTATAGGGAAATTTAGACATAATCTGATAAGAAAGAGTTACTCCTAACAAGAAACAAACCACTGAGTTTTTCCAATATTCAATTTCATTTTCCACATCCGTCATTGTGATTAAGGCTACCTGTTCCTCTTCAATAACTTCTGGTTCGATATACTACAAATCTGGTCCTTGACCTTTCAATTTCTCTAGATCAAAGGCTACCATCCCTTATCCACCTGTGTCTCAGTCGATTCTCCCCCATTATTACTCCCTATCCCTCGACTCTGCCTTCTCTCTATATCATTACCCATTTTAGAAATTGTGCTTTGTATAATATCCAAATCAGGAGAACTTACATTATAGTTGTTGTTTTGCTTCTTGTCATTCTGGGCTGCCTCACTCACTTTCGATTCTTCCACTCCACTAGATCTCTGTATTCCTTCATCCCTTGCCAATCGCGAATCCTCGCCTTCAACTGAAATTGAGCATTCACCCTTTGTTTCTGAGTGTTTTCCTCTCTCTTTTTCGCTAGATCTAGATAATTCTTTCGTCATACCACCCCCTCGGCCTCGTCCTTTGGCCATTTCTGGCGTATTAGGTCATACGCCAAGAGAGAGACGAGAGAGTTTTATGACGTAAGCATGTTTAGAGAGAGAAAGTTTTGAGGTCAGATGACATTGCTGATGATAGGAAAAAAGAAATTCTTATGAGGTAGCCTATTTGTAAGAAACATCAAACCGAACAATGTAGATATGTATCTCCCAAATCTTCATTACCATCATAAGTCACAACTTTATAATTCGACCCGACAATGAACTTCATCCAAAATCTCTTGAACTTTTAATTCCTTACTATATAATCCTTTCATATATTTCTTTCTCATGGATTTACTTCAGCAATGCTTGTTTGCATTGTTGAGAACTTTAGATTTAACACATCTTTGTTCCAAAGCTTCCCTTCCTTTATGTAGTTTTGATAACGTCATTCTTGTTAAACTGCAGATTTCTAGAAGACTGGATAAAGTGAAAGAACCACCATCTAATTTCGGGCGCATTTTTTGCTAACTTAAGTTACGCAATGGCTCAAGAGTTATTGTCCCGAGATGTGTGCACAAAAACACACTTCCCAGTTTCTGCTCAAAAGATTTCTAATTCCCTAAAGTCCTGGATTGAGGGGAATACAGTTTTCTCCCCTACGCCCTGCACCAAGTCCATGGACATTTGGAATCTGACTCTAGCAGGACTTATGGAGTCCTAGGTTTCTTGCTGCTTCCAGGCTTAACAACATAGCCTTGAGTTCAGCTGTTTCTGTGGAGCACTGCCCATTAAAAGCGGATACTACCTTCCCTCTTTCATCTCTCAGTACAGCACCAACAGCAGCACTATTCGACGAGCAAAAGTAGGCAGCATCACTTTCGGCTTTTATTTAGTTCGTTGGAGGTTTCTGCCAGCCTAAGTGGAGTCCTTGTTAAAATCTTTCCTCTGCCATTTCAGCAACTTTTGGCTCCTTATAGCCAAAAGTTTTTGCACAATCCTTTCCCAAGGTGTGGAAGTTACATTTTCTGTTATACTCTTACTCTAGCTTTTTCACCATTCTCGTGTTCCATTTTGCAAAAGCTTTTGTACTTTCTATGCACTATCTTTACAAACGTTTCAATACACATCTTGTCATAACATACAACCAACCCAAATGCAGAGTAAACAGTTAAACATTGTGATAAATACTCATTAACAAACATAGGGAAGCACCTTTTGCTTCAACAACTAAGATCATAGCACAAAGATAGAAACGATAGCAAATATATTCACTTTCCCATTTATTGTATTCGTTTCTACAAATATTCATGATCCCTCTAATAATGGTGTTACTGTAAAATATATGGATTTTTCCTCTTCCCTTCACTGGTTTTAAACTATATATATAAATAATGAGTTTGTCGATAGTTTTGGTAGTAGCATGTGAAGATGAAAGGATAATATTATTGCTCTCTTTCGTCAGTTTTGGTTTCTTTGAATTTCTCCATTTTTTAACCATAATTACAATCAATCCAATTCATTATTCACTTTTCTATTTATTGTAACCGTTTCTACAAACATTCATGATCCTTCTAATAATGGTGTTAGTGTGAAATAGATGGCATTTTCCTCTTCCCTTCGTTGGTTTTGGATTTTTTGAATTCCTCCATTATTTTACCACAACCACAACCAATTCATTCATTATTTTTTTCCCCATTTTTTGTAACTGTTTCCTCAATCCATGATTACTCAAATAATGAATTTAGGACAAACGCACTTTTAGTCCCTAAACTATGAAGGGTCACAACTTCTGGTCACCATTAATTTTTTACTGACAAACTTAGTCACCATCTTTTCGTTTATTCAACAATTTTAGTCAATTTAACGGTCAACTCTTTTCTCCGTTAAATTTTCCGTCAAGAGTTGAAAGAAGAATTTGTTTCATTGAAAGAAAAAAAGATATAAAATCTACTTAAAGTTCCTATTATATATTTTACACTAGATTAATTTATTATAACCCCTTTCTAAGGTTTCAGTTAATGTTTTATTTGATTATAGGTCCATAAGCATCATGATTTTATTCAAAAACACATATATAGATATTTTAAGTTGATACATTATCCAATCCAGTTACTATTAAAGATAAATTTCTGAAGATTACTAGTTGGTCTTTGGAGGTTTTCCCCATATTTCTATACTAACGGTTACCTCGTTCTCGGTAGAGGAGATCCAAATTTGGCGGTCCTCACAGACGAGAAGTCAGAGTGTTTTCCAGGATGCAATTCCCTGTAGAAGGCAAACTGAGAAGAATAGAAGCATTAGTATCAGAAGGATTAATGGAGACAGAATTTTCAACAGTAGCGCTGGAAACAGCACGCTGTTTTTGTTGATTTTTGCCATTTGATAATTAACACTCCTTTTGCGCTTCCAAAGAGGGTGAATTAATTTTTTCAACAGCAATTCCCATGTCTGGCTCAGATGGGGGTATTGAGATTGTATCTTTCGTTGATGATGATGTAAGGAGAGTGACAGGATCCTCCACATTTTGAGTAGAACCTTCAACGTCAATTGGAATATTCTGCTTCTCCTTGATTGACAGACCAAAAGATGAGGCAACAACGTTTAATTGATCGCCTTTTTTGTTTAAATCTGTTCTTGCTTTCCATTTTGGCACGGGCTTTGGCATAAAATATGTGACTTTCTTCGGGCCTGGATGAGGCAGTTTTTCATATTCAACATTGACAGCCAACTTGGTAGTCTTCTTAACCATTGTATCTTCCAATGTTTGCGATTGAGTAGGCTGCTTCCCTTTCCTGCAATCTAAACTTTTGAGGCCTATTTTGCAGCAACTATGACAGTAAGATGGCACATATCCATAGGTAAAAATTTGTTCATGTTTCTTACCCGTCTTACCAATTTTAATTGAATTCGGCGGATCTTTGGTCAGATCGAGTTCAACACAAAAACGTGCAACTGACGGTCGAGATAAATTAAGGGTGGGAGCATCAATCTGTAAAGGCTTACCGATGGCAGTGGCAATTGAATACAAAACCTTAGGATGTGTCCACTCCAATGGTAATTCATGAAGAGATACCCAGACAGGGACTATAGGCGGATCTTCCTCAAACTTGAACCCTGGTTGCCACTTAAGGATGCGCATTTGATAGCCGTCAATATTCCATAAGGATGAGATCCAGCATCATTGATAGTCTTCCTCAAGTTCGAATCGGATGGATATGTCTGGGATTCATAAATTCGAGAGAATAAGAACCCTTAAAACCGATTTTTTTGAAATCATCCCTGACCTCTTCCATTTTAGGGCGCCCGTATGAAAATTTCCCAGTTAGAGTCATCTTGTGAGGCGCGATCAGAGCTTCAAATTCATCCTCATCGTACTCAAGTTCCGGATAACCATTAAAGAATGTAACTTTTTTGAAATCTGGGAAGGGCTGCGAGGCTGAGGACAATTGATTGGTTGATGAAGCCGCTTCATTGGCAAGTGTAATTGGCTTATTGAATAGGCTTGCAAAGGTGCATGTAGATGATGGTTGTGATGTTTTGGGGTTGCCGGCCATGGCGGCCGGCAAGAAAGAGCCGTTAGGGAGTAGGGTTTGTTTAGAGAGATGCGAGAGAACTTTTTCTTATATAATGCTAAATTATGACATTACTATTAACTGGAAAAATAATTACATTATAAAATTTAAATAATTTTTATTACATAATTTTATAAATAATACAATTATTTTTATTATTATCATAGTTTCATATATATCAATAACTTTCTTAGATAAAATTATAATCAAACACGACAAACTTAATCAGTTCAATACTTATGATTCAGCCTTCAGATTTCAGACTTCGGACCCAAAGTTTTATCAAATGGGGCCTTAGGAAAAAACATGAACTAGAAAATCTCCGAAAATTATAAGGATTCTGTACAAAATTTTCTTGTAACCACATTTTATAACACTAAATAGAAAATAAAGTTAACACGTATTCCATCCATCTCAAAACGAGTTTTTTTTTTTTTTTTTGAGGAAAATCTCAAAATGAGTAAGCTAAAATGAAAATCTAAATTGGATATCATATTGAAAAAAAGTTATTTGTTCTATACTAATAAAATCTATATTCAATCCTAGCAACGATTCCACTTTCCACATTATTGCAAAGGATAGGAAAAAAAAAAAAAACAGAAAATTAAAGAAGAGAAATATGATGGTGAGTGAGTGGGACTGTGGGACTATATAAAAAAAAGTTTGGCTAATTCACTTTTCACTTTCCGCTTATAATTTCAAAGCTTTCTAAACAATGGCGCCAAAAATGAAAATTCCACCGGTTTCTCTTCCTCCTCCTCCTCCTCCTCCTCCTCCTTCCTTCCCCGTCGGTAATGGCGAAAATGAAAAGGCTGACTTTTTTTCTTTTTTTATTTAACACTGGCTGATTTCTGAATCTCCGATTTTGATCTATTTAGTCACGGTGACAATTTTTCAGGGAATTGCGAGGTTATTGTCGAAGCCAAGAAGTTCATCCCCGAGTCCGCCCAAAATAGCCTGCAAATCACCTTCTCCAAGAATGTCAAAATCAAAATCTCAGGTATTAGTCTGTTCACAATCATTGTTTTTTGGCACTGTAGATTTGTGGGATTCATTGGATTGATAACTTGTATAACTTGCAGTGGTGGAAGGGAAGCAGCAACCTAGAAATGAAAATGACGATGTTCCGGCGTTGGGATCCGAGAAAATTGGTACGGATTCAAACACGTTTATTTAAATTTATTCTTTCCCCGTTATCATTGAATTTTTATAAACCCTTTGTTTTTGTATTTGTCATATATAGGTGAGTACTATTTTGTATTGATGAACCCTAAAGATTCAGATGAAGTTACGAAATCTTTAGTACAGGTACAAATTCTCATATACATCATCCTATCTATTTGTGCAATTAATTTCTTAATCTTTGAGATTTTTTAATCTATCTGGGGAAGCACTCCTTTTTACTCTTTGGCTGAAAGCTGGGTACTTCGAGCCTTCAGACCGCTATATGTGTTTAATATTGGCCATATCCCATGATTATGTTCTTCTGCAGACTTCTATTAATGTAAAACATTTCAGTTAAGGGAGGATTTCTCTCTTTTGTTTCCAATAATGCCATTCTTAGAGTTTGGTCAATTTGAGCTCGCAGTTGCTATTAATATGGTCAAGTAGTTTGGCAAATAAAGTTCAAGAATGTTTAAGTGTAGAGACGACTTTAAGGGAAAGTAGTGAATGATCTGCATTTTCTTGCCTTGTTAAGTTTTCTGGTGGATTGGATGGGATTTGAGACTGATAGAAACTTTGGTGCCTTTAATTATAAACAAAGCCCCAAGGTTCAATTTAATAGCATCTTTTATTGATGTTGCTTTTGATGCATTTTGAGCTGTCAATTGCCAAATTCACAATTTAACATAGATTCTTGCTCATACCATGATTCAAAATTGTTGACCGGTTGAGACTGCCAGCTACCATATCGTCATCCTGTCATTTGATCAACTACTCTGCTTGTCTTTCATTTTAAACATGTAATCTGTGTGTTGGTTTCGTTAATTTGCTATAATATCTTGAGAGTTGATATGTTGGTTTTTGAGAGCATGTTCTTTGTTGTAATTGTGTGCCCTGTTGCATAGACTGTTGACTAGTCGTCATCATGCTAGAATTGTCTTTTATCCCTATTGACAAACCATTTTCTGGCAAGTGACCAGTTTCCTCCAATGGTTTTTTAAGCGATTTTTCCATACTTTTTCAGGAAGTGCTGCATCTTTACTCAAAAGAGCTTCCAGCAATGAATTTTGCATCTAATACTGGAAAGGAATCAATGTTTCTCCAAAGATGTGTGTCAAAAGGGTAAAAGAACCTGCCCTTGTCTTCTGAATTTTCTTAAACATTTGAGCTTTGATACTTGGAAGTTTGTATACTAGGGTTAAGCACTCTAGTATTATTAAACAATCCTGGATGATTAATTTGTTTGTAAAACTTCTGTACTTAAATGTTCGTTGCTAATCAATCTGTTCTAATAGAATTTCATGCATTTTTACCATTGCAGAAATTATTGCACTTTAGCTTTGATACACAAGGCTACTGACGAGATCAAAGAGGTAATCTATTTGCTATAGATTTATTGATTCTACCACAAAATGTTCGTGGTCAAAAACTTGTGTTCAAAGCTAGCATTTTTTCTCTTTCTTTTTCATTTCTTTAGTTCGTCCCCATGAGATATCTCCAGATACAGATCAACTTCAGGTGACGAATTTTGTTTGTTTTCATTTATTCTCTAGGTTTCTGATATTAGTTATGTAAAACTCGGTACGAGTTGTGGTAAGTGTTGTATGACTATCAGCAAAGTGCGCCTTTTAACTTATGAATGACTTGGAGTGAATACTATGAATAAAACACATAGTTTTATCAGATTGTGTGGCTGTGTGTGTATTTCTGTCTGTGTCTGTAAGTCTGTTGTAGCCCTCAAACTTTCAGGCTGTTCTTAGATGTAGCATATAGTTTCCATTTTTAAAATTTAAATTATCATTAAGAAAAATCTTTGTCGCTCATGATTATTCTCAAATTATGGCAGGTGGTTTCTGCAATTAGTTATCAGATAGTTCCTTCCGATACACATCATGCTGAAATTCCACTTGCCTGTGTCAGCTATAAGTACCAGAAAAAGGTTATTTGCTTTTCTCATGTTTCTATCAAGTGCATTAAATAGTATGTCATTGCTAATTACACAGTGATGTTATTTTAGTATATTAATGATATTATTATTTTGTAATGTGATACTATCTTTCTCGTGCACTTAGTTTTGACGAACAAGCAAACAAGTTCTTTTAGAAGAAATACATCTCTTCATTATTATAGTGCAATCAGTTCTCGTCCTTTTTTGGAGTTTCTCTTATGACATTTTGTACTTTTAATGACACTTTTATGGTGATGACTCACTTTAGTATCTTTTAGGGGATTGGTCGGCTTATGTACCTTGAACTGAGACAGAGACTTCAAAGAGTTGGCATTCGCTCAATTTTCTGCTGGGGAGATCAAGAGTCTGAAGGTTTTTGGCTAAAACAGGTAACTTTTGTTAGTAAATTGATGCTTTATATCAATTCTTCTTATCTTGCTGATTCTAACTCTTAGACATAAATTCAGATTACGACTTGTAAAATTAAACCAGTTATCCGTAAACTTCTTGAAGATTTCCCTAGAGGCATCTACTGTTTCTCCTGATTTTATTTTGTTTCTTACGTCCATCTCATATTTTATCATCTCCCCTTGGGTTTGAACATCTGTACATTTTAATGCAAAATGCTCTTTGATAACCTTTGCTTCCATTGCATGTTTAGTCTGACCTTTGTTCGACTTTCAAATCTGACCAGTCTCACATTGGTTCTTGTTTGCTCTATAAAATGCATTATGGAAACAGGGTTTTACGGTGATTGGAGAGGTAAACAAAAAGGGTAGAGCACGGCGGCTACCTATTAAGACTGCCGTTCGCAAGGCTCTCTGCTTTCCAGGGGGTTCTAAGCTCATGATTTCTCACCTTAATGATAGCTCATCTACCTGTACTGAGCAAATAAAGGTTGTCTTTCCTCGGCAGCCTTCTGACAGACATATCTCTTCTGATGGTGAGCTAAAATTGAATCCAGAATGCATGGAGGAGAATTCTCAACATTTAGAGGGAAAAAACCCTGTGGTTAACAGCACTGGGTATTCAGAAGCTGACAATTTGGTTACTGAGAGATTCCTTATTGATGGTAGGTGAAAATTTGCTGACTTTTCTAGATAATTTTGCGATCTTTTTGTATCCCAGCATATCAAATAGGTCCAATAACTACAATAACCAATGCATTCTACTTACATTTTACTTGTGGTTTTAAGATTTGTTCTCTTTACATCTGTGACATCTGAAATAATGGCATTCAGTTCTATTTTTTCTTTTCCTTTTTCTAGTGAGGCTTAAAAGGAATAACTTTGAAGTCTAGAAGCCTACTTAGGAGTTTGTTTAATTTCCCGAAGGACAAATGCAGTAGCTATAATGCTCTTAATACTCAATGAAATATAATGATATTCATTGTCCAGATCTGATGACTGATGAGGAAAGAGGGCCTAACAGTTAGAAAATGAGCTAATAAACTCTAGCTGCCTGCATGAATGTAAGATTGATTCTGTTGGGAGTCTTACCTTGGATGTCAGTTATCTTTGATTGCTTGATCCCACAACAATGTCCAATTACTGAAGGTTATGGATAGATTAAGTTACTTTTAGTGCCAAAAATTTATACTTCAGCTCCAAATTGTGCATTGTTGGTTAATTTCAGCATTATTGTTTCCAACAAGTGAAATTTTTCTTGGACAGGTGCAGTTCATAATGTTTCCTGCCTGAGCCAGAATATTTCCCTTTGTGGCAATTTAACGTTCTTTTGTTAAAAGTTGTGTTCTTGTCGCGTTTGACAGGATCTTACTATAATTGCTGTTTTTGTCATGTTTGGCAGGATCTTACTGTAATTGCAATCGATCTCCAGGCAGCCAAGATGCTGATCGTTTAGAACTTCTGGATCATAATGGGGGTGAAAATTTGATGTTTGGTAAAAGTGGGGAGGATAATTCCAAAAGATGTTCATGCTCAACAGAAGGAACTAAAAAAAGGATATGGGAATCCTCGCTCACCTCATTGAACTCAAAACGAGTAAAGGGTAGCCACATAATTGAATCTCAATCAGATATCAGAAATTCTCTCTCCCGAGGTGATGAAAGAAAGTGTTGTTCTAGTTCGAGTTCACTCCTGGAAAACAAATCATTGGTGGATGAAACTTCCTTGAAAGCTGGCTACTTGGATGAGTACTATAAAGAATGTGCAGCAGGAAATTTCACTTCAGAAAATCTTGATGGCTTTAAAGTTCCTTCAACCGATATGTGCTTCAGAGTAATGCTAATGAACATTGCTGATGATAGGAAGAAAGCAGTTCTTACGAAGGTAACCTCTTTCATAAGAAACATTGAACTGAGCAATGTAGATCTGTTGTTTTTAATTCAGATGTGTCAATGTTACCTAAAGGATAAGAAACTGAAATACAAATACTACATGAGAATTGACAGCTGAACTGGAGTATGTAAATCACCAACTTAAATTTCAAAACATGAAAAATATAGACAATTTCTTCAAAGTTGATAAAACTGATGCTATTCTGCTCCAAATAATTTATGTTACACATGTAATGAGTACATTTCTTTGTAATCTTCTTGTTTCAAACACTTTTCAATTCTTTTTTAATTTATTTATAATATATTTTTTTTGAGTCAAACAATCATTTCCTAACGTCCAGTCTCTCCGCCATTGAGCAAACATCTTTAGTAAGAAAATAGTGTATTTAACAATTCCTTATTGTTGTTCTCTTCCATATGATAATGAGATTGAAAAGAAATGCTTTTGATGCTTTAATTTAGATAATTGAGGATCTAGGCGGAACTGTTACCTTTGATGGAAGCATGGCTACACATGTAATCACCGGGAAAGTGAGAAGAACTTTGAACTTCTGCGTAGCTCTCTGCTCAGGGTAAGACTTGACGAGGTTAACGTTGATGATTAGGGCAACTGATAAAATTGTTCTGTACGGTCCATATCTCTTTTAGTTTTCTAATTTCTTCTGTTTCCAGAACATATTTAGATCTAGAACCTCCGTAAGATTAAAGGGTAAAATGTAGATTTGACGTGGTAGACATCGACATAATGGTTATGCAACTATCTTCAACCTCATGTTATTCTGCAACAAAACAAATGTCTATAAGAATTAATGTGGCAACAATGAGACCGCATGTATAAAACTTTATGTATATGAGGAAAACTAGATTTGCATTAAAAGGGAAGACAATAAAAGTGCAAATCAGGAAGCTAGATTTCTCCGACTGGTCTTCAATCATCTGTTGTAGAAATTTGAGAATAGTTAAACTTCAAATAACCCTAAGGATACAGGTATTATTAAAAAGTTCTTTTTGCTTAATTTTGTTTTCTTCCTTACAGTAACCAAATGTTGTGTGGAATATCCACAGTAATTTTAGTGGAGAGGCAAATTTATTCTTTTAAATGAAATAATCTAGCAGTTTCATCCATTTCTTGCTTTCTTCTTTTCTGTTTTGAGAAATTTTCTGTCATGCAGAGCTTGGATTATCTCATCCATGTGGTTAAAGGAAAGCTTTCGAAATGGCAGATTTTTAGGTGGGCCCTTGTGAAACTGATATAGATTCTTTCTTTTATGTGCTGAATGTTTTGAGTTGCATAATCAGTTTGTTATCTTAACAGATGAAATGCCGTTTGTGCTGAAAGATGAAGAGTACGAGTCCAAATATGGAACAGAGCTGAAAGCTGCAGTTGTAAGGTCAAAAGCGAACCCTCGTTCTTTGCTTAAAGGTCATGACCTATGTCTTGCAGCACATATTCAACCGCCGAAGGCCACACTAACTGCCATCATTAAGTCTGCTGGTGGAAATGTAAGTAATATCACGGAAAATTAACATTTTCGTGTAAGTTGAGCAACTACCAAAATGGAAATTTGTGTTGTATCACTAATCCCTGAACAAAATCACATCATAGATTAAAGTAGATTCGGTACTAAAGAATCTCTAATTAATAGCTGCTTACGTCATGCTTGTTTGGATAACGCAGGACATTACTTTTGACACATCCTTATTCAAGTTTTCCCGTACTTAAAATAGTTTTGAGTGGACTCCACCGTTGATATATTAATCTTGTGACACTGCAGGTTTTAGGACTGGACAATGTGAAACAACCATCATCCACAATCTTCATTGCATGTGAAAAGGATATGGAAGAAGCACTCTTGGCCGTGAAGGAAGGTATCAAGGCATTCAGCAGTGACTGGCTAATGAACTGCATCCTTAGGCAAGAGCTTGATCTGGAGGCTTCTCAATTTGCAGAATCCTTGTGATTATATTTATGCAAATCTTTACGAGTAAACCTTATTTACATGATAAGATTGGTTTGGATTACTTCAGGTTTATATGAGATTTCCTTACATAGTTACATATGTATTTCTCATTTTCTCTATACCCAACCAATCTATTCTTGTATGTCTATAAATAAAAATTATGTTTTCGGCTCTACTTTCTCTCTTGCTTTTGCACCACCGCAGCTCTCTTGTTCCATTTGCAATAACATATGGCTCCTTCTTTGGACTTCTTTTTTTTTTTTTTTTCTGATATAGAGAAGCTATAGGTTGAAAACTAGGTTGGGATATGAATGGTTACTTATGTTCTTAATCCATTTGGGTTGCGATTACTGTCTATACTACTTTGATTTTTTTTTTTTTTTACTGTATGAGTTATCAATTCCAGGTTGAACCAGCAGTGTATTATATTTATTAACTCACACGGTGATAAATCAATGAAATGAGATTGGTAAAAAATCAATCTAATGTATTGAAGGTGGGTCAAAATCATGAATGCTCTACCGACGCCAGGATTGTTTACTTCCTGACATCGTTGTTCTGCTGGTTGTTTTAGACGAACTCACTGCAATGCTTTTATCCTCGTAAGGTTTTTTTTTTTTCACCCTAATAATTTCATAAATTTTATTAATTAATAGGAAAATCAATTAAGAATCCGTTTTTTTTTTTCCTTTTGGTACTTTCCTATTCCTCTTCTCCAAGGTTTTCCCTCAAAACGCCTTTTTCCTAATTTTCTGATTATTAGTAATTTTTCCAATTATTACAACTCCTTTTTCTTACCGGTTTTCCAAATACTATTACAATCAGAATCTATCGGTATTCTTTTGCCTATATATACACAAGCAATACACATCGACAAAGCATCTGATATCAGCTGCTAGGGTTTTCTTCATTGAGATCGAATGGAGTCCCAGCTCCAATCATCAGCCTTATCTTCTGGCTCCTCTCGCGATAAGGATGCCTTCCGTCAAGCTGTTGTTAACACCCTGCAACGCCATTTCTTTTAAACTCCTTCCCTAGGATCGTGATATTATGGCAGAATTGAAATAGGGTCATAGGATCGGATCGTAAATGAGATCGGTAAGATCAGAATAATAGAATAATAGGATCGTAAATATATAAAAAAATTATTAAATTTATTTTTAAAGATTTAATGTTGTATTATACATGCATTCCTAAATAAAAGACAAACCACTTATTTAGTACTCCCTATGTGCAAATATTGTTATCCACTGAGGTTTTTAGTACAATTCGAACTAAAAATGAAAGTCTAAATTGGACAATAATTTTAGGACGGAGGGAGTATTAATATTTCATAATTAAATTTAAAAAATAAATAATATATATTTTTTATTGTATTATAAGTTTAGTTTTAAACAATTTAAAGACATTTGCAGGACACCTATTTTGCTCATCTATCAAATGTTATATATATTACTTGAATGCATAAATATTTTTGATTAAAATGTATGTAGTAATGACTAAAACCAAAAGAGCAAATAGGCTGATTCTTTTAAAAAAGAAAATAATATTTTGGTGATAAATGAATTGTTTAACCCACAAAAAAAAGCCTACAAAAAGAATATTTAAACTTTGATTAAAAAAAAAAAAAGAATATTTAAACAAACAAGTTCCAACAACGAAACTGACATTCTAGAGTCTCTAGACTCTAGACTCTACAGAGTAGAGAGCATTTGATTAAGCTTTGACCTTTTTGGGCATTTATGAATCATTGGGGGAAATAATATCGTCAATTGCATGAAAAATCAAAGTTAAACCGTTGAAATTCCATTTTGCATTAGAATCGGCAATATCGTGGGATCGGATCGATCCTGCGATTTTGAACGATCCCGTGCGATATCGATGCGACCTCACAGCAAAAAGCGATCCTAAACGATCTAAGATCGATTTATATATTTAGATTTATATATTTGGATCGTACGATCCTACGATCCTACGATTATGGATCGTGATTTTAATAACACTGCTCCTTCCTTCAAAAATTATGGCAGCGTCGCGGGTTTCATGACTACGGTCCTTCCAGCTGTACCGTCAAGTCTAACGTCCTTAGTTTTTGGCGGCAGCATCTTGTGTTCGAGGAGAATATGCTTGAGGTTGACTGCCCTTGTGTTACACCTGAAGTTGTCCTTGAGGCATCTGGGCATGTCGACAAGTTCACAGATCTTATGGTAAAGGATATCAAGACCGGTACTAGTTATCGAACTAATCATCTGATCAAGGATTACTGTAAAGATGAGCTTGAGAAGGATTTGGCCATGCCGGTCGACAAGGCTTCCGAGTTGAAAAATATTCTTGCAACTCTTGACGATCTCTCCCCCAGCTTGGTGCAAAGATAAAAGAGTATTGAATAACTGCACCAGACACTAAAAACCAGCTTTCTGATTCTTATCCTTTCAATCTCATGTTCCAGACTTCAATAGGGCCCTCTTGCCTGAGCCCTGGGTATATGCGCCCTGAGACGGCACAAGGCATTTTTATCAACTTCAAACATCTTTATTATTACAATGGGAACAAGCTTCCTTTTGCTGCTGTTAAAGTTGGCCAGGCTTTTCAAAACGAGATTTCTCCTCGGCAAGGCCTGTTAAGAGCCCGCGAGTTCACTCTAGCCACAATCGAGCATTTTGTTAATCCCGAGACAAGTCTCACTCGAAATTTTCCCAAGTTGCAAGTTTGGAGTTCCTAATGTTCCCGATGAAAGTATATGGGGGTAATAATTAAAGAGACAACACAAAAGACACTAAAGAATAAAGATGAAAGATTTATAAATTTTATTGTTAGAAACTTGAATCTAATAATAATGGGAGAATCAGAAAATTTGGATGTGTGCTAATCGTGTTAGACACTGTCCTTAAGACAATATTTGCCCCCTCCATGTTGCAATACCGGGTTTGTTTGGCAATTTTTTATAGGACATAAAGAACACAAGAACATACAACTTGTAATTATTGAATGTTCTCGAGAATTTAGGAATGCAAAAGTCGAATGAAATCATACAGTAGTTCACCTATTTATAGGCAACACTTGCAGAAACAAAGGATACAAATTAAGTACATAACCCTTGGCTTGTAGAAAATAACCAGCATGCAAGTGAAGGGCTGCCAACTTAATTATTATCCTTAAATTCTAAATTAATTATTTTATTTTACAAACTAAAATTTCCAACATTTTCCCACTTAGTTTGTAATATAAAATAATTACACAATTATAAAAATCGCGCTTAAGAGGTGGTAACTTTTGTTTTAGACAACACCGTAGTAAAATTAAGTCACCTAACTAGCTAAGTTATTGGTGACTCATTGCTTAAACCAATAATCAGTCTAGTATAGACTTAACAATACACGCGCAAACACTCATAGCATTCCTTATAATTCACATTATGATTTAGCACTATTACTGGCCATGTGCTCATCCTAAATTCTTGATCATATACAAAAGATAATCTCAAACTTTTGCTAGAAGTGGCACCACCTCTATGATCAAATAGATGGAAGTTATTCCAGTTTATTACTATACCGTAATGAAACACTCAAGAATAATTCCATTAAGAGATTTCTCTCAACCTGTTCACCTAAGAGTAACATATATAATGCACCAATACTTGGAATGGCATACACGAATTTTGGTGCTCACAACCACAAAACAACTTGTTGTTACCCTTTAAACCTTGCAATCTAGGGGTAGTACTAGAAGAAGGTTGGTTTCCATTGTTCGTGATTTTAGTATTGAGATTTTACTCCTATTCCTCATATTGTCAAAAAAACACCAATTCTCTCGCAAGAGATTTGGTACATGGATCCATACCAAATTTGTGTTTTCACAAACACAACACCAACAACATCAACATTTGTATCTCACTAAGAAATACATATCTTGGAATTAATATGTTTATATTTACCCATTGTCAAATTTTACACAATGTTCAAGACATATTTATCTAACTATCACAACACAAGGTTACAAGCAACACAGGCCAGGGCTCTTTGACCACTTCACCTCCTTATGTACTGAAGATAGTTCAACAAATTTAGTTTTTCTTTCTTTTATATATTGGAGAGAGTGATTACTGCTTGCTTCACTTATCAAAAAACATCTCTTACTACCACGCTTGAATTTCTAACCACTAACGGGTTATAATTACAACTGCTAGAATACCAACTAGCATTCGAATAGCCCTTAAGAACAACATAAATCTAATCAGTTATAATAAAATCATAAACCTTAGTCTTTCAAAGACATATTATGATTTTAGCATTAATTTTGCAATGATCTTACTTAGGCCCTTAGTGTAATTAGTGAATCACATACCACATAGAATGTGTTAACACAAGTCTAATGCATATACAAGACATCCAACATCACTAGAAGATTCTAATTTAGTAACTGGATTGTCATATTTAACACAAATGTTATTAAATATAAAATCGTGAGAGTATAAACTTTCTTCATATTCAAATGTTGACACTTTGTTAATAACTTATTACATCATATGAATAAAAAAAATACAAAACCCCTACTATTTCCTTCAGTATAATGACTAAAACATTACCTCTTTCACCAAGCTCATTTAATTTGAACTTAGAAAAAGGATTTTTCTTAGTATCCACTGCACGTTTTGAAATTTGTATATGCATTGAGTGTAAATATCTATACAAAAGCAAGTATCTATTACATACTCTCACAAAAAATTTTATATATGCAATTTACAACATATATACACCATGTGAGAGTAACTTAGATCAATCACCATGCAATTGTATAAAATCAAATCAAGACTTCACTAGTACACATATCTTTCTATTACTTCATAGCACAAAGCATTTAAGAAGTTCCAAATACACATTTTCATATAAGTCACCACTAAGATAATACTTTACATATTTTACAGGTGAACATGAAAAACTTAAATGGAAAATTCTAGCCAGTATGATAAAATATGCAAGTCAAACTAATCAAAGCGATCATGACACTTTAAGTCCAAATATACTATTGATGTATCTTTCTATCAATAGCATATTACTAATGGAATAACCATTTACAATATACTAGTTTAGAACCTTTCAAATTAAATCAATTTGGACATATATATTGTTAGATGATATCAAGTCCATTGTAAGAGTTGCTCTTCTTTCCAAAATGATTCAGCCTAAAAATAAAAAACTTATTGGTTTTAACTTACTCTACAAAAACCATCATAAAGTTTTGTTTAGTAAAGTATTGTATTGCTGTCACTAGGAAGTCAGTAGCCTTAGAGGATACAACTTCCAAGAGAACTTTTACAAGTTTTTTACTTTGCTTAAACCAGGAAGTCAATGTCTTTCTGTTTGGTTCACTCATAGAACTATTTGCACTTTAGAAACTGAGAGGTTAACTAGATGGTACATTAGCTACTTGGTTTAGAAGCTTTAAAAAACAAATTTTTAAATGTATCTACATCCATTGATTATATTAATACATTATAATCAATGATGATAAGTAGCTTAGATACTTTAGTGTTCATATAACCACACATTTAAGTGTTCTTGGTCCCAATAATGAACACAACAATATGTAGTGTTACATGGAACTTTTTATGTTCGACAATACAATTTTCCTCCCTTCCATATTTCACATGGAGACATTAGTCTTTAGGGAGTTTAATTGTACACATGACAAGTATTTAATAATATTTATTCCACAAACCTTTTGGCTACTTAAACTTGCAAGTATAGCATTGCCATGACACATAGAGTTTTATATTTCTAGCCAAACTATTTGTTGTTTATTAAATACTAGTCCATTTTACCTACTACAATAATTTTAGACTAGGGATTTACATACAAAACGTATCAAATATTTTCTCCACTATTTTCATTAGATAAACCTGCACACAGACATGAGCAATTATCTATAAAAGTGACAAAATATTTCTTTGCATCCCTTAGTTTAAAATTATTAAGTTCACATACAACAAGGCGTTGTACTAGCAATAACTTCCAACTTTTATTTGGAAGTAAACTTGCAACCATAGTTTATGCATTTGTTTCATATTTTCATTATTAAGGTATATGACACTAATTAATTTATATCTTATGCAAATATACAATACCTTATCAGCCACAAATAATAAAAAGTCAAAGAATAACACCATATCAAATGCATTGATATTGAAAATAACAATGCAAAAGTAAGAATTGTCAATTCAAAAAGTTTCACTGGAAAAATAATGTTTGGGTATCAACTAAGGTCACAACTTTAATATGTCATTTGGATGACTAGACATGACTTTCACTCGTGTCTTTTCACTTTAACTAATTGACTTATTCTTTCGAAATATGTCTTTTCACTTGAAACCAGTAAACAAATGCTTTCATTTGTGTCTTATCACTTATAGTCAATAAATACAACTTTAGTTTGTATCTTTTCACTTGAACTCATAAGACAAAAACACTTGACATGTCTCTATTCATCCAAAATAAAGCAATCACAACTTTTCATAAAAGTTATCGATTTCGTTTCACCATAACTATATTTTCGCATTGCTATGAGAAATTTTCACATGCATAAAACATATAGTTTCATACACGTAGTATCAATTTTTCAGAACCAAAATTGTCCCAAAATTTATTGAAATTTAGTTATATTTTCATGTCGTCCTTTTTTCTATCTATGCTATTAAGATCGACGACAAAATCGACAGAACATAATAGCAAACTAATCAAAGAAACGTCGACTTTTATGTCAACTTTACCAAAATCAACGACAAAATCGACAAACAGAATAGCGAGTCACTCTAATGAACGTCGACTTTTCTGTCCACTTTACCAAGATCGACAACAAAGTCAACAAACCCGAACATAAAAATATAACACATTCTAATAAGTGTCAGCCTTTCTGTCGATTCAAATTATCCGATGATAAAGTTAACGGACATTAACAAAACATGTTTTTACATATAATCAAATTATAAGTGCTAGAATTATAGAGTTTTCAACACAATTGGCATTACTAGTTTGAATAATAAATATTCACAACTCTTCACATAAAGGCCAATGTTAATACAATTATAACAACATGTCTTTTACATTTCTTAAAATTAAGAAATTCATGAAAAATACATTGATCGCATGTTTTGTTTTTGTCAACAAAATTCACTTTAAGATCACTAATAAATAATTATTGTAAGATCTTAAACACAAATTAATTCACATAATTTTCACAACACCAGATTTGGTTAATACAAAATTAAAACACAAATCTACAAAGTTTTGAATTATCATGATGGATTAATTTACTACGAATTTTGTAATTTCCAAGAAAACATTTAACACAAAGTTAATGTATATAGATCAGAAACTTATCTGTTGTATATTCGCTTGAGTATACTTTAGATCTTTCTATATCTGTCTTCAGAACTTGACTACGGAACTAAACCGTAGAGAAATCATTTTAAGCACATCGAAAAATCTCTATGTTGTAAGATCCATCTTCATTGTTTTTAACAATCTTTGATCCTGGTCTCCTTGAATACTTGTATCAATCCATGGCTACATTAAATATTGTTTTAAGAATGAAAGTATAGGGGGTAATAATTAAAGAGACAACATAAAAGACATTAAAGCATAAAGATGAAAGATTTATGAACTTTATTGTTAGAAACTTGAATCTAACAATAATGGGAGAATCACAAGATTTGGATATGTTCTAATCGTCTTAGACACTGTCCTTAAGACAATATTTGCCCCCTCTATGTTGCAATACCGGGTTTGTTTGGCAATTTTTTTAGGACATAAAGAACACAAGAACATGCAACTTGCAATTATTGAATGTTCTCGAGAATTTAGGAATGCAAACGTTCGAATGAAATCCTGTACTAGTTCACCTATTTATAAGTAATACTTGCATAAATAAAGGATACAAATTAAGTATACAACCCTTGGCTTGTAGGAAATAACCACCATGCAAGTGAAGGGTTGCTAACTTAATTATTATCCTTAAATTCTAAATTAATTACTCCCTCTGTCCTAAAATTATTGTCCAGTTTGAGATTTCACATTTAGTACAATTTGAACTAAAAATGAAAATCCAAATTGGACAATAATTTCGGGACGGAGGGAGTATTTTATTTTACAAACTAAAATTTCCGACGACACCTGAGGGAGGATCAAATGTCCGGTCAATCAGCAAAGAGATTACAGATCGGTGAAGCAGTCAAAAAGGGAATTGTCAACAATGAAACACTTGGTTATTTCATTGGGAGAGTTTACCTGTTCTTAACACGGCTTGGGATAGACAAAGAACGATTGAGATTCAGGCAGCATCTTGCAAATGAGATGGCTCATTACGCCTCAGATTGTTGGGATGCCGAGATTGAATGCTCTCATGGCTGGATTGAGTGTGTTGGAATCGCAGATCGATCTGCATATGATCTGCGCGCACATTCTGACAAAAGTGGCGTCGCGCTTGTTGCTCAGGAGAGGTTTCCAGAACTCAGGGAAGTCGAGAAACTGGTTATTGCGCCGGTGAAGAAGGAACTCGGCCTAGCATTCAAAGGGAACCAAAAGATGGTCATTGAATCCCTGGAGGCAATGGATAAGAAAGAAGCCTTGGAGATGGAGGCTAATCTAGAATCAAAAGGTGAGGTGGAGTTTTACGTATGCACTCTTGGGAAGGATGTGACTATCAAGAGTAACATGGTATCGATTTTCAAGGAAATAAAGAAAGAACACCAGAGGGGTTTTACACCTTCTGTGATTGAGCCATCGTTTGGAATTGGGCGTATTATATATTGTCTTTTTGAGCATGCTTTTTACATGAGGCCAAGCAAAGCTGGGGATGATGAGCAGCAGCAGCTGAACGTGTTCCGTTTTCCTCCTCTTGTGGCCCCATTCAAATGCACTGTGTTCCCTCTTGTTCAGAATGATCAGTATGAAGAAGTTGCTAAGTTAATCTCCAAATCATTGACTGCCCGTGGAATTTTACATGAGATTGATATAACAGGTACCTCTATCGGAAAACGCTACGCCAGAACGGATGAACTTGGTGTGCCCTTTGCGATTACAGTGGATTCGGCATCATCAGTGACAATCCGAGAGAGAGATAGCAAGGACCGAATTCGTGTTGACCTGGAAAAGGTTGCTTTGGTTGTGAAGGAGTTGACTGAGGGAAACACCACCTGGGATGATATTCTAAAGATCTACCCCCTTCACTCTCCTGGATCTGTAGATGAGTGAAATTATTGTGCAGTAACTTGCGCTGAGAAACATACTAGTATCATTTTTTTCTCTTTTAGAAGTCGGACCCATGAGACATTTAGTTAGTCTTTATTTACAATTTTGTAATACATTATATTTCCTGTTGAGGTTACAGTGCATTTCTTTAAACAATAAGCAGTATTATAAATGTAAATATTCTTTTGACATAGTTACGTAAACTAAATGTCACCAAAACTACTAAATACCATAAGGAAACTGAAGCAAAATGCAGAAATGACCTCGAACCATTATGTATAGCCACAAACAGTGGCTTAAAAATAATTCCGTGTTACATCCCTATTAAAAGGGTCGCTAACTTAATGTGTAGTAAACACCTTCGGACCAATATAGTGTAAACAAAAATATGTGGTTATATGCCTTTTTCAACCCCTCTTGATTAGTAGCAAGGTGAACATCCACCTTCCTGCAAAGGGCATGTATTAGAAAGCTTCTGACTTATAAATTTATTGGAGTATTCGAGTGAATGATAACATACAAATCTAACTTGTGGACACTACAGGAAAGATTTCCGACAAACAAGGTTTTGGACCCTCATGCTTGAGGCTGAGCTGCAGGAGTCTGCGGCTGCATGCAAATGGTGTTTATATTAGAAACAAAAATAGCTCATGTTTGGTAAATACATCAAAAAGCGACGGCACATACTTCCTTTTTTCCATGTGAAGGACCTTTCTTTGAAAATGCATCAACCACATCTACATCTGAATCCTGTTAATTGAGACAATGTAAAAATGTCAACAGCTACAAATAGAGGCAGCGGGATGAAAAGTGCATAACTTGAATTTTCAGCTTGTTGCTACATCCAGGATCATCTTGGTAAAAACTATGCATAGTTGCGTACAGACCCTACAAGATGCAATAAAAACAGGAGTTACTACAGCAGCTTAAAAACGGTTTTGAGCTAAAAGCACCCCCCATTACCTTCTTTTGCGGGTGGCTATGCACATGGTGCTCACTATGGTGTGCATGGAAAATTCAGGCCTGGAAAGCATGGCAAGCATTGTATGGCATCCATGGTAAATTTGGCAAACAAAAGATGCATGGTATATTTGGTGGAGGAAACTTCAAGAAGTGGAAGTAAATTGTTTTCATGTAAATGGGGCAATTAGGTTCTCAACCTTCTGACCCAGTCAAACTTTTACAGTAGTAACTAATCTGTAAACGAGGACAAAACTTATATGTAGTTGTTCATACCCTGATCCCACAGTTCCCCTCTCTATTTCCTTTTTTCCACTCTAGTCTTGCTTCGATTAGTATTCAACAAAATCTCGAAGTATGAACCATTTTTCCACTCTAACCTATGCCGAAAACTAGCTCATATTTGCAAGGCTTCAATATGATAAGTTTTTTGAGTCCTAACATGACCACCATTTTCAACCAGGAAAGAAAAGATCAAAATACAACATACTCCCTCGGTTCCTATTATGAGTACAGTTTTTTATTATTCTTTCTGCCATAAGATCAGCCATGATCATATGTTTCCAATGATGTGTTCACATCTTCAAATCAAGACTTAATTCTTAAGTTAGAGATTATTTGAAGGAGAGCTGGGAATGCATACTCAAGCAACCAGCAATTATGTTGCGTACAACTATTATGCTGTACTTATTTTTACAAGCTTAAGAGCATGAAGCAACCTGTCATTTTCCACAAGCCAGCTGAAAATGCTTAAACACCACAAGATAAATAACTCAACATGCTTTTAAATGGAAATGCCTTTCACCTTTGCCATGTATTATCCTTTCCCATGTTCTTTGGAGTTTGAACTGCCGTGAATCAAAGGGAATGATTGAAGCACCCGAAGTAACATTGCTACATATTGAGATACTTGGAACAAAAAAGGATTTTGAGGAGTGCCTGAAAATAAACCATCAAATATGTATCCTATGTTACTAAATTTGATTCTGCAATCATATGGTAAGCAAATGACCAATTAATAAGCCTCAAACTAAAGGACAAGAGATTCGAGGGAACCATGCTTATAGAGAAGTAGATAATGAGGAGCACCATGGCACCTAAACCTAATAAACAGAAACTTCATTTATATGTACAATACAGATTATGATATCAACTGTAACAATCTACATTGAAACTGATACTTCCAGAACTTTTGTATCTGAGTTTTAAGTTTCAATATGATGGCATTCAATTTAGCAGCTGTTAGATTTGATGTTCTAAAGCAAGCCCCGAAAAGAATAAGAATCTGATGCTGCATTGTCAAAGTTACTGAACTACAGAAAGAGACAATTAAATAAAAGAATATGTGCATAGTACCGGAGGTTACACTGGTAGACTCGAGCTTCTGAAGGAGGACTTGGGTCTCTTACATCCATGCAGTTGAACAAAAATCTGCAAGGTTGGGGAAAAAAAATGACAAACCGTTTAAAGTTTTGTTGCACTTGAAGTTAGAAATGAGGTTTAGAAATGAAACATCAGTATAATGGGGAAAAAAAAAAAAAAGTTTGAGAGATTTAACCTGCTTTGATATCTTGTCGGTCGTTTGGTTTCCATTATTCCTGAAACTGTTTTCCAATATTGTTTTCCCAGTTCCAGGCTCCGAGCAAGAATGTGGAAATGCTTGATCTTTGACGTCATTTATAACACTGGAAAACCATCTACCGCAGGCTTCCATGCTCTCAGGACTATGAGCTCCATCCAAATAGAAGATCAAATCTCCAGAAGTCTCTCCATTGGTCATGGACAGATTTGAGGAGCTGGAGCAGTCAAAAACCACCTGTGCTCTTCCAGAGAGGCGTGCAGTTGAAAAACCCTTAGGAATGGCTCCGGTGAACCATCTATTCGCTTGTCCTGTTTGAGAAGCTATTAGTGACCACCACAAAACATTTGTACTAGAAATAACAGAAACAAAAGGAGAAAGGCTTCCTTCTAAATTTTTCCATGTTGGCAACAAATTAAGGAACCAAAAAGCATAGTTCAAAGCCAAGCAGTGGACTAAACTCTACATGCAACCAAATTTCAGTAGCTTCTGCTCCAGGCATGGGTACATGAATAAACCAACTCCAATAAACAATGATTAGGTTTTTCATACTACTTCTTTAAAAAAGACCAGCGAAACACCCACGAAATTCACCACTTCTCAGAGTCGTAATGGTTTCTTTATAGACTATAAGCATTGTCATTCTAGTGCGTTCACCAAAAAAAAAAAAGTGAAATGAATTAAGTTCTTGGGGCTTTTCCCGTCATTTTGTGAAAGAGAAGCAACAATGCATGAGTAGAATGGAAGTAACATGAAAGTATCAATCTTATTTTAAAAAGTAAATTACTGTCACAAGGAATTAAAATTGGCATTCATCTCTTCCACAATTAAACATCGTGAAGTACTGGTTATTCTTCAAAAATCAAAATGACAGATTATATTATGAGCTAACCAAATTTGTTCCTGAGTTCAGTAATCTGCTCACAGACGTTTGGGCTCGTGTGCTAGCACATATTAACTATAACTAATGAATCAGAGAATGCATACTAACAAGTTGAAAAAGCTTTTCCAAGTTTCCTACAGTTCAAAGCCAACTTTTACAAGGAGAGACCGCAAGTGCAGCATTGGTGTACTGGTGTCACCTACCAAACTCAGCTTTATCCCATTGATCTTTTCATTTTCAAGGGGAGGAACCTGCAAAGCACGCAAAAATTCATTACTCACAAGAGGAACTTCCCTTGCTTTCCAGTTTTAAAATCCTGTATAAGAATGCAGATATTTGTACATGTACATGCATAGATCTATGTGGAATGGGTGAAGACACTTCTTTGATACGTTTACTCTTCTGATGATTTGCTTACTCTAGAATCATTCTTTGATATGCTTTCTTCTATGTATATACTACACTGCTGTGGATAATAATGGACGCAAGAAACAATTCGAAAAATGGACTGCAGAAAGTATAGACTACTCGTGCTGGGAAGATACTGCAAGAATTTAAGGGAAGTTCATGTCATAAAATTACCCACCCAAATAAAGTAAAGAATAACAATTCACATAATATCATTTTAGGTTTTAATTAAGAAAAAAGAAAATAAACTGAAAATACCATCAGTTTGTTCGCCTTCTCATGGAGAACATCCATTGCCTCTGAGAGCTGTGGTACAGAGAATGCTGGGACTTGAGGCTTCATGAGCATGTAAACTTGACTTAGAATTATGCGGGAAAAAAGTAAAAGAAAGAAGAGAGAGAGAACTGCCAATTCAAGTATGAATAGAATTTTCTCCATATAATTCAAATATTGCATGCTAGACTGATTCCAATCCAAGGACAAATAAGATTTTTACCTTGAGAATTCCAGCTTTTTGAGTAGCAATTTCCCCAAGTGCATATCCTGCATGCATTTCAATGAACAATGAAAACTTCACCACCAGAAAAGAATGAATAGAGAAGATTTAGAAGTCATGTGCACTAAAGGACCAACATGTAAATTGTTATAAACAAAAATAAACACTAAAAGCAATCACAGGTCATATGATATCACAGAGGTCTGAAAAAGGCCTACAATGAATAATGCAGAAAAGCAAAGAACGGAAACCATCAGGCTGAAATGGACATACCTAATGATTCCATGTGATCCATACCAAGAGAAGTGATGCCACAAACAACAGGATCCTTGGTCTGCATAATGCTTGATGTGTTACATTTTTGCATTTGATATATAGGTACATAAACGGTAACAGTAAGATACGATAGACATTTGCAACTTCGAGAAATTTACTTTCTTGGTTTTTCCAGAAAACTAAGTGGAAGGGTTCATAATCAACCAATAAGAAATTCAGAAACAGCTGAGGCCATGAGAAATGCCTTACCACGTGTTGAGTCTTTCATCTCTCCAAGACCACTTTGATAATAGCAAAATCTACCTGGAAAACAGAATAGAAAAGAATTGAAATCTGCTCAAAAGTAAAGAGACTACCAGCTAGCTACATTTCTCTAAAGTGTGCATTCATAAGGTTGGTGATAAGGAGTGAAACAAGAACACCCCACCTTTTCTTCTACAAAATTTTTGAACGCCAGAACCGTAAGGAACTGGAAGAGTGGAGGCATGGGCAAGTCATCTGTAACATTCCTCTGCAATTAAGTGAAAACCTCAAATTGTAAGGGGTGGAGATTAAAACAATGAAAAAAAAAAGCTTAATATAGTCCGTCAAACTGGTCTCCAACTCTGATACTTTAGGAAGTAAACTATACCTAAGATCTGTAGGATACGGTACTCACAAACTGGGACCAAACGATGATAGAAACATGAAAAAGTGTATTCCTTTTCAAATTAGTCATTGCAAGAACCAAAACCAACAGTGTATGAAGAACTAAAGCATCCATGTTCAGGACTCTCAAACATTCAAACTCTCATAGTGTTCTCACATCTATTTTCATCAGTTATACATCCATGATATCAATCATTACAAAGATCACTAAAAACATAAAAAATGGCAGCCTGGTGCCCATAAGCTTCTGCATGTTTGAGGTCCAAAAAGCCCAGTCCATTAAGCGACTGCAGAGCATTACTTTATATTTCTATAAGAGGTGCCAGACTAAGAAAATAAAGTCCTTGCATTCAAAGGAATCTAGGCTAAAATGAACAGAGAAAGAAGTCAGTTGTGAACAACACCACATCAGGTTACCTTTGGCTGGTTCCAACAATCCCAAAGTACAGCAAGAACTTATCCTCTGTTATGTCAAACCTACAGATTCAGTTTAAAGACAAATAAGAACTAGCACATATACAGATTCCACCAACTGTAGTCTATTTAAAGAGAACTTATTCTCTTTCAGTAGAAAGTTCTATTTATTTACATGACACAACATTTTCTCAGTAAAAGATTAACGATTCATTACCTCAAGTAGTATACTACAAAGAACCACATAGGATGTTTCTAGCAGCTCTCTCAAAAGATGATTAAGAACGGTGTAAAGATTTTCAAGCAAAGTTTAAATATCTAATAACTCACCAAATGACACGAAATCGCTCTCTAACATCTATCAAATGAGGAGAAGTAAAAAGCCCAGTACTGAAACCACACTCCCTCATTATAGCCTCAGAAATGGCACATGTTGAACCCCGAGAATGAGTTTCATCATAAGAAATTAAAATTAGAAATTGGCAGGGTTTAGTTCAAACAAGGGGGAAAAAATCTCTCAAGCAGAAGGTAATGACAAATCAAGCAAATTTGCATGGCATAGTACAGCTGAATTTGTTGGTAACTAAATCTAAAGACGTAACAAACGTAACTTCTTTTGAAGTAAATTCTATTACAGAAACGAGCTAAAAGTATGAAATTCTGAAGCAAATTTTAAAATTTATCAAGACATATGATGCAATATCAAAAGAAATGCTCAGGTACATGGAACTTTAACAACATATTTTGGGATACATTGATTACTGCAAGCACATAAGAGCTAAGACCAAGGTAAAATTAAGGTCATAGCATCCAAGTGAAAGCGTCATGACAGTCAATTTGAACACAAATCAAGAAACGGGGGATTTTAATCATTGGCCTAAACCTGTTGATTGAAATTTCTGAAGAATCACTATGATGCAGTTAACCGTGATTTTGTCCAATCACCATGTCTTTAGGAGTCCATATCATTCAGACCATAGTTACGAATATTCCAAGCTTAGGTTCTGAAAGAATGGACCACAGTAGGTTGTCCATTGGCTCTGACTTCTATATGATTACTCTTCAATGTGCACTAAACTAATTTCTATAACAATTCAGGTCAGCACAGTGTTTTAGTCCCTTTCCTTTTCATGTTTACTTTTTCAGATGATCAGACAACACCTTTGAACTTTCAATGGCAGTGATGGATAAGCACACGTGTAAGAAACTATTTTTGGACTTCAAACATAAACTGTTATTACCTTTCCTTTAGTTCCAGCAACATGGATGATTTGGAGACCAGCAAGATGTTCTTCCAAGCCTAAAATATGCAAAGAGAAAGTAACACTTACTTGAAATAGTAGCTTATGAAAACCCTATGAAAAAATATTAAAGCCACTGAAACGAAAACTTTTTTAATTGGAAAGTGAAACTACAGATTAACCATTAGGCTCCTGTAACAAAATGAATATGTTAAAGACATTTGGATTATCTGTTTAGAACTAAGAGTTCATCTACTGCCTACAAGCAGAAAATATGACCTATTATGACCAACACTGAAGCACTAATCAATTTTCCTTGTGTTTAAAAACTACACAGTGATATCCGATGTCTCCCATCGTCAAATTTGCAGGTCCTATCTGGTGAAAACATTGCAGCTATTCACCAATTCATCCTTGAAGCTCTCAAGTTAACATTAAAACAAAGACAAACAATACAAGATAAACACCAAAAAGTACACCACCTAATAAAGCAAGCCTAATCGTAGGAATTAGTTCCTTACGGCTAAACAAACAACTGATAACAGTTTTGTACTACCATCACTTAACATAAGACAGGAGCTTTTTCCCCTTGTATACCTTTTTTCAGGATACAATTGCTAAGACAAAGTGAAGTGTTGAAAATTACCTAAAATACTTCCAGCATAGCATGAAAAACACCATTAGTATTTTCTACAATCTAGTGTTCCTTTGCATCAATCATTACTAGGACAGCTAAGTGAACTGGGAAACACCAGAAATTTACTATCTGCAAACAAATCACATCATACAAGTACGAACTGTTTACTGTACCTTCTACCTGGATATACAATGACATTCTGTCCAATTTCGAATAAGTACCACCTATCTTCGAAGGACCCCCATGCTTTGGCGAGTGAATAGAGAAGAAAGTGCATCCATAGCAGACTCGTGTGATGAAGATGTAGTCGTCAACTTAACAGAGTCTTCTTCAGCCATCATATTCTTCTCCTCCATTTCCACTCTTTGAGTTGACGCTTTGCTAATGCTAAATCCTAAAACAGAAAACCCGGCATGGCAGAAACAAATGAAACCTATAAATAACAAATGATAATTTAAAACTAACAATAAAAATTCTGATTACATTTTAACAATTGAATTTGCATAAGTTCACTTAGTTAAAAACGTAAGCAACCAAGAAAGAAAAGCTGCTTCCAAGAGCAAATGTGAGCTGAACAAAGGAAATATGACAAAAGAAAAAGAGAAATTAGAAACAAGATGACCATATGGAGGTACCTTGATGCCTGAAAGTTATTTGGGAGTGCAGCTTTCTAACTCCAGAAAAATAAAGGGTTTCACTGAAAGAAAGCAATCCTGGAGGTTTCCAAGCCAAACTACATGGAACTTGGCAATTCTTTCTTTGAAAGATAAGAAAACGTGCCAAGTAGCTTCTGCCTCAGATAAGGCTTCAAGAGTACAAGCATCGGGTTGCTTGAATCCTAAATGTTACAGGAATTGTTAAGAAGTAATAATCCATAAAAAAACATTTCTAAGATAACATGGAACTCTTGACGATAATGACACATAATGACAGAGGCTGATATATAACTGGACAAACAATTGGAGATTCTATTATGAAAGAAATAGAAAAACATTTTCAAAACTTTTGAAGCATGATTTTACTTTAATCCGGATGTGTTTTCTGAACATTGCCAATATGTGATATTAGTTATGCAGAACACATTGACAATCTATCTGAACCAGTGTACTTACTTCCCATCTGCAATCATTTATTTTGCATATACCCAGACAGTGTACTTGTTCTTTCTTTCTCTCTCCGTATCTAGGCAACAGGAAAAGAAATTAACCACGTACATCAATCTAATCTCGACATCATATTTCTCAAAAGCACATGTTTTCATTTGGATTAAAGTTTATCGTGTCTTTTCAATAGTTTCTAAACACCATACGTAGGCATTCAGTCAAAGAACAGTATTCTCATATATGGCTGTAATGAAGAGATCACTTGAATGAAGTGGACGGTTCGACGCATATGAGGACTTATTGAGGGAAATGTCATTAAGAAATGTATTAGTCTATATTTTCTGATTCATCCTCCCCAACTATTTGATTCATTGAATCAATTTATCTTAAAAATAATAGTATAATGCATCAAAACAGCAGCATTTTTCTGCCCAACCATTAGCAAAGACATCTCTTTGAGTTCATATCGGTTGGAAAACATAACAGAAAGGCTTCTTCTCCTCTACCCTTACCCTACCACAGGCACCTAGCTTTAATTTTAGCAAAAGATCAAACTTCAACCAAAAGAAATGGCTAGCTGTGCATCCTAGATGTCTCTTTTTTCTCCTTCCTCATTGTCATATATGCAAATATTCTCTCAAACCCGCCAACTTCACAATTTACTTAATACATAACCGGGCCTTAAGTTACCAAAGTGGCAACATAAAGACATTCAGCAAACTTTCCATTACCACATTAACAAAAGTGGTGCAATTTGAAACCACCACCGAAAGTGTTTCTCCTACAATAAGCATAAAGTTCACCACTTTATTCGATTAGCTTCTTTCTATTTGAATCCCAGCTCTCACATTTATTCCCAAGTTCAAGAATTCATCAGTAAAGTCAAAATCATGCATTAATACAGAGAACAGACATCACCAAGCTACACTTCCTCCAAAAAGACCCACAAAAAAAAAAAGAAACAAAAACAAAAACAGAATAAAAGTAATTGAACAGATTTGGACATAGGTACAGATATCAGCGTAAAGGGTTATGAGATTACTCAAGAAGAGTGGAGAGGCTGGAGATGGTGGTTGGTGAAGCTGCTGTAGCCATCTTTGCTTTACTCTTTCCGCCATAGAAAGAAAAGCTCTGGTGTGAGATAGTCGTTGTATTTGTTCGCCGCTTAAGAAATAAATCCAAAATGAACTGTGACTTTTCCCGCCAAGGGGATTCCGACAAGGATTACTTTCCTCGAATCATGTCTTTTTTTTTTTTTTGAGTTCAGAGAGGATATATACTTTTGGGATTGTGCCGGAGATCAAGAGATTGTTTAATTTTAACTTCGTGACTTCGTATCCACCTTTATCATTACTAATTAAATGTAATTTGAAAAATTTTAGAGTTCAACCAACTGCACGGTTTACTTTATAAAGAATACACAGATTATTTCATTCAAATCAAGAAATGTAACACCAAAAGAAAAGCAAAAAAGAAATGTAAACATATTGCTCATATTTTTACTATTGAAAGAAACTTCGAGCAAGATTAGTTTTTGGAAAATAATTCGGGTTTTTTTGGTCTTTATTCCTAGTTTTGGTGTAAAACTAGGTTGGAGTATGAATGGATACTTATGTTCTTAATCCATTTGGGTTGCGATAATTCTGTCTACACTACTTTGATTTTTCAAAAAAAAAAAAAAACTATATGAGTTATTAATTCCATGTTGAACCACCACTCTGTTATATTAACTCACACATGAAAAACAATCAAATGAGAATGGTAAAAAATCAATTAAGAAGACCTGCTGGTTCGAAGGGCCTAAATCAAAATACCTAGAGAAACGTGGAGTTTTGGTTTGTCAAAAGATACTCTTTTTGGGATATAATACAATTGTATTACTCGTTTGACATTGTTTTACACTTTAGTTTTTTGGGATATATATAATACAGTTGTATTACTCGTTTGACATTGTTTTACACTTTAGTTTTTGTACAATTTTGACATTTTTTGAGATTTGTAAAAAAACAATATAAATGTCAATTGTTAGCGGCGTTAGCAATAGAAGATAGTTTTAGGTGTTTATAATAGCTAAATGTCTTTCCTAATATTGTCAAAACGTGAATTCAACATGATATCGTTGGTATATCTCATTAACGTATTGTAATAACTTAGATTTCCAAGCATTTCCAAACATTTTGCTGGAAGAGGTAGTAAAAACAAAATACTTGTGTAGACACTATTATCCTTATTACTTAGTTTACAAAAAATAAAGATAAAAAACCTTCCCAAAAAAAAAAAAAAACAGAATCTATTGTGTGCTTCTAAAAAGCTTAGAGGTTTCAGTTACATTCAAATTAAGAATTCCAGAGCGTATGATTTCAGTCTGTATAGCCTTTACAAATTTAATACTGGCATCATTGATCATTCTGCCTTCCCGCACATCACTGACACAAATCATTTTCCAGACATAGCAATAATGATCTGTCGTGCACAAGATCACTATCATAAATCAATGGAGCACAAAGTTTGGCCGTGCAGCCTGGTTTGATTTGGACATGAGAAAAATTGAGGGTTTAATGGGAAAAAAACATAGAACTAATATGCATAAATAAAGATCAATTCTGACGGTGCATTTTGTTGGGAATCATACAAAGCAGATGTTGGAGGAGTCATAAAAGATGACATAGGCAAGTTTCTTGGTGCTTTTTTACGTGAAATTTATGAGAAGGTTTCCGGTAGAGACGGCAGTGATTGCGGCCGTCCGGACAGGAGCTTAATCAGAAGGTACAAAACACAAGGATTTCAAAACAAATACTCCCTTTGTCCTAAACTTATTGTGCAGTTTGAAATTTCATTTTTAGTACATTTTATATTAGAAATGAAAACCAAAATTAGGTAATGATTATGGGACAGAAGGATATAAAATTGTGCTCTAATCTAGAGAGTAGATATAGAACACCCACAGAAATAATAATTGTAGCCAATTCAAGCGGTGGAAAGATCGACGACCAAAACAAACAGAAACATTTTGCAATTATATATACAACACAATAATGTTGTTGACGATGATGATAATAATTATAAAGGAGTTGTTACTACTACTTCTACCAAGTCAGGGGTAATAACATAAGTGTTACCTGCTACTCGAGGAGGTGATTTCTTCCGCTCAAATATGCTAAAATCCGTCGTCACAAATTAGCCCTCCATAATACTCTCTATTCTTGGCGACACTAATGGAGAATTTCTCCAAGAACTTTTTCACTGGTACGTCAGCATACAGGCACGTAATCCTATCACTTGCGACCACGAACACTAGAAAGTAAAAGAAGAACAGCCAAGAAATGCACACAAAATCAGGGGGCGGAAACGAACAACACAATAGTAATATTATGCAGGGAAAGAAGAGGATCACATACCACTAGCGAAATCTGTAACATCGATGCCATGGCGGCATGGCCTGCAGCATAGCGAATCCCTTTCATGGCCATCCTTGCCGCTTCTTTAACGGACCACGCAGACCAATTGGAATATTTTCTACCAAAAAACAAAATATATATATATACATCAAGATTACTAAGAAAAGGAGGAAAAAAAAAAGCCATCACTAAACAAATAACATGGTCGACAAAGATTGAGGAATACTTGTATTGGGACGGGTCTTCCAGAACATCGTCCAGACGACAAACCCTATTGCTCTTAATTTCATTAGGATGGTCCTTCTGATGAATCAGCTGTCCCAAGTTCAGATAAGAATACGCAAACGTATGTCCAGATCCGGTGGCCAATATATTCCCTTGCATCACTGCGCCCATACCGTCCACACGAAACAAGGCTGGCGTCTTTGTTACACAGTCCCATCCTGCCACCAGTCCCACTTCCTTCAGAGTATCAATAACCATATCTACTCTCCCCGAAATTCCCAGTTTCAATTGTTCCTCATGAGACAGTCGCGGAAGTCCATGTGCCATGGCCTGGTGGGGAACATAAATCAAACATCAAGCCAGATAAGCAAAAGAAAACAACAAGCCATTAATTTTTCCAATTCTTCTGGGAAATCATTAACAAAAGATTCACAAAAGAAAATAACAAACCCTATAATGCAGTTCTGCCAAATGTCTCTTCTCCTCCAGTAATAGCAGCAATGGAGGGATTAGGAAGACCAAACTCATGAAGGTTCTCGATAAAAGCTGATCCTGAATTACATGAGTTAGAAGCTTTTCAGCCATACTGCTCCATATATAAGCAAGCAACCAGCTCATAATCATATACTCCTACGCCCCAAAATTATTGTCTAGTTTAAGATTTCACTTTTAGTTCAAAAACTGAAAACCCAAACTGGTCTATAATTTTGGGACGGCTCTTGCAAAACATTGTGAACTGTAGCAACTAAAACAACAACAACACACCTGGTCGCGAATGATTAACTGCCACGATGACCTCGTTTTTCAGAAACTATACCCAAAACTGGTGGTCCCTGGTCGTCCACATACTTTTCTCTATAATAATTATGGACGCTAGGGCGGCGATTACAAATAGGGAGAGGATGGATGCATTCAGGATTCAAGAGTATCCCTCCCTTCAATACAAGCAAGCACAAGAGGAACAAAATCAACTTAAAGAAAAATTAAAATTGGGGGAGAAAAAGGATAGTTCGTCGAAGAACTTACACTAGTGAGGTGGCGACCATAAGTCGCCGCCGGCGTGAAATATGACTCATCATCAGAAGAACACTAAATCCAAAAAGACAAACAAAAATACAATGAGATATGTACAACTAAAAGATTATTAAAGCGGGGAGAGAGAGAAACACGACGCCATCGAAAGTCACCTGGCCGGGATCCGGTTTGTTTCTCCAAGCTTTTGTCGTCGGGTCCACCGGATCCCCAGAGCTGAATGGGCCTAGGAAAAAAGGGTTTCCAGGGCTTTTGATTGGTATTACTGGGAGCGCTCACAGTGATTTTGGCAAGTATGCTTTCCCGATCTTTGCCGGCGGGGGTTACACCGGGTGATTCAGCATCCGCCTCTTTGCCTCATGCTTTGTAATTATTTGTGTTGTATTTGATTGATCCTTACGTTATCATCGTAAAGTATTTATACTTGGGGAAAATCGATTAATATGAACGTGAAACCTTAGAGTCTCATGATCTCAGTGTTAAGGTTTTCGTGATAATTACGTTGAGTACCTTCTAACCGATTCGGTCAGATAGCTCAGATCGGCTCATCTGGTCCGAGTTAAACTAGTCTTCAAGTCCAATTACAGTATATGAACACGTCAAAACTGCATTAGCTTCAAGTATTCATTATTCAACTACATTAACATACCAGAGTTCTGAGGCTAAAAAATTTAAAGAAAACTGCCAAACTAAAAACCACCAGATATAGGCTATTCCGTCACTTGAGTAACATCCAATTTTATTTTTTTTCACAAAAAACATGGTAAAACAACACAATTGTAAATACCGATCCTCAAACCGATTTAGTAACATTGCCTGCCCATTCAGATTCGAACCACATTCAATATGGACCCAACCGCGGCCCGCCCCAAATCAATGCTATAATATTTAAATTAATTTAATCATAGTTCAGATTTTAAATTGTAATTTACTAATTATAGTATACTTGTCTTCTTCTTTTTTCTTATAATTATGTTTTGGACCAACAAGAATAGTCCAAATCCAAAGAGATATTATATTTAGTGAGATATTATCTAGAATCAAAATAATGAAGTTCTATATTTTATTAACCATCATAAATACAATGATGATGCTAAGCTCAATTCTGTTTGATAAACATTATATCAAGTATTTTGATATGCTGACAAGATATTATTAGTTAATAATATGATACTAACAGCAACACTTCATTGACATGTTTTGAGTATTTTAACTAAAAGAGAATTTGTTCAACGTGATGATAAAAACTAATGTAGAAAGACTTATTTTTTAACTTTAAACATAATCAAATGCCATTTATTTTTAGTTAGATGCAAACCTCTCGAATAAACTTGCAGTAACTAAGATTATACATTGAGAAAAAAAAAATAACAACATTTAATGTTGTACCGATCGATTATATACAGAATGTCAAATATAGTTAACTCATTAGTCACTCTAATAAAATTAGCATTACATTTTTTAACAATATATTTTGACCTTCAATAAATTTTAATTCTAGAACCGGTAATTGGCACTTTATGGTACCACAGAACCCAAAAACACAGGCCATTTTTTGTTCCGATCGAAATACATATAATTACATTAAATTACACACGTAAGGGAGTTTCACAGAAGAAAATGTTGTAGATACCTAAGAGTATCATCGATACAAGCATATCTCCAGCTCATGATATTCATCACTCCCACACTCATCTTCTCTAGAATTACTCCACCACCATTTTCTTTTTTCAACCCCAACCTCAAATCCGCCGCCAGCCCACTGGCAGAGCCGACGCCAGCGCAGCACCCAGACGGCGGAAGCTCTTTGGAAAACCAACCTTCCAGACCCAACACCACGCTCCCTTTACCCTGACAATCCATCATAGTGAAAACGCTCCTAAACCCTTTCAACACAACGTTCCAAGTGATCCTCAAGTCATCCAGCTCTTTAACCACAACCGGGTTCGGGTTACCACCGTAATCAAGGCTGAACCGGAACGAGAAATAGTCATCGAGGACGAGTTCGTTGCCGGGCTTAATCGTGGTGTTGATGCAGGAGTAGTTGTTGTAAATGTCGACGGCGAATACGATGTCGTCAAGGGAAAGCTGTGGTTTCAACGGCTTTTGGAGCCTTCTCATTTCAGCTGTGTAACCCAAGGTAAACAAACGACGGTACGACACGGAGGCGGTGGTGGCGGCGGAGCTGGCGGAGGAGGCGGAGGAGCGGTGGAGGTTTGAGAGGGAAGGGTAAAGTGCGGCGCAAATGGGCTGCCAAATTTGGTCGGAAGACATACAGACGGACCATGACTTGCAAACGCAGGATGCGACGGTTAAGGTTTTTGGGTCGAGACGGTAAGCCACGAGGCTGAGGACTAGCCATGGCGGCGAGGTGCTCGGAAATTCATTTTCAGACATTGAAGCTAGCATGGTTACTGATGACGCGGGGGGAACGATTTTGGCACTTTATCAATGAAAATTAGAAGGGGGAAGAACTGCGAAGGATGAGTCATCAAAATGTGGATAGTCTGTAACGGCCACGTGTAATGGAGCTACAAATTCTGCCGACACGTGGCACTTTTTTTAAAATTTTTTATTTTTCGATGAGTGACTGCTTCCTGATGTCTGAAATTGTGTTACGCCGATTTAGTCCAGTCGTAATGAGTTCATAAACTGTTTGCAAATTGCATGTGAGAAAACCTCAAAATTATCATTGAACTATTAGATGATTCTAATATAGGTTATTAATCAAATTTATTTGTATAACAGGTCATTTTATTAAACAAAAAATTCATCTCAATTAAACAATAACAAAAATCTATTTTTCACATGCTTTTGAGTTCAGGAGTATTTTCGTCATTTTAATTATTTTTAAATTTTTATTTTTATTTTGAAAAAAATTATTTTTTTTTTTTATATTTTTACAATTCTTCTTCTTATACTTCCTAAGTTGTATATGCTGGTAGTATATTTTTTAAATTTTGTATTTTAACTTCTAGATCATTAATTAGAAAAAAGAAGAAGAAGAATTCGAGTTGAAATAAATATAAAAATTAATAGTTTACCGTTCTAAACCCAAAAAAAAAACTAAAAAAATTAGCTAAGACAAGTTGTTTCTTTTAGGTTATTTAATTATTTTCAACTCGATTTAATCATTTAATTATTAACTTTCACGTTTCCTTCAATTTGAATTTCTCTTCTTTATTTTTTATAAATTAGAAGTTAAAATACAAATGATAAATTAATTTTTAAAATTTAATAATTATTATAATACCAACATATACAAGTTAGGAAGTAAAAAAGAAGAAGAATTGTTTTAAAAAATTAGAATATTAATATATTTAAAGAAAAATACAGAATTATGAAACCACCCCTAGACCCAAAAGCATGTGAAAAATAGTTTTCCGTCACGAGTTAACGTTCAAAATATCTTTCAGCTAAGAGAAGTTGTTTTCCCTAGGTTATTTTGGGAGTTAAATCGTCATACAAAGCTATTTTTCACCTGCTTTTGGGTCCAGGGCAAATTTCATCAATTTATATATTATTTTTTAAATTTTAATATTTTAATTAAATTTTTTTTACAATTCTTCTTTTTTTACTTCCTAACTTGCATATGTTAGTACTAGTATCATGATTAAATTTCAAAAATTAATTTGTCATTTGTATTTTAGCTTCTAGTTTATATAAAAAGATAAAGAACAGAAATTCAAATTGAAATAAACATGAAAATTAATAATTATATGATTAAATCGAGTTAAAAATAATTAAATAACTTAGAAGAAACAACTTGTCTTAGCTAATTATTTTAATTTTTGTTTTAGTTTAAAACGGTAAACTATTAATTTTCATTTTTACTTTAACTCGAATTTTTATTCTTAATTTCTTAATTTTTTTTAAATTTTAAAATCTAGAAGTTAAAATACAAATTTAAAATGAATTTTTGAAATTTAGAATTATACTACCAGTATATACAGGTTAGGAAGTATAAGAGGTAGAATTGTTAAAAATAAATAAAAATATTGAAAAAATAAAAATTTAAAAATTATAAAATAACAAAAATACCCCTGAACCCAAAAGCATGTGAAAAATATACTATTTAACGGTCAAAATTAACAGAATGATCTCGGATGAATTTTTTGCTTAGTATGGTGATCTGTTATATAAATAAATTTAATTGGTGACCTATATTAAAATTACCTAATAGTTCAATGACCCGTTTTGAAGTTCACTCTTTAAAAAAAAAAAAAAGAAAAGAAAAACAGAAGAGCAAGATTAGTAAAGTGTGTAGTTTTTTTTTTTTTTTTTGAACAGAAAGAAGTATACAAACAATATAAATCATGTAACAGATGCATATTCAAACTCCATTACGCCTGCCTGCGATCAGAAATGGAAAATGAGCATTGAGAGTTTCTAGACATTTATGATCCATATTTGTGATCAAATTATACTAATAAATTAAGTACAATAATGAAAAAGAATAAATAATCAAGAAAGGAGAGAAAACAAAGGAAATCAAAAGCACCAAATTACTTGGGAAGTTTACTCGCCCTAAAATGTACAGTATATATATTATAATGCCACCTCATGGCTCATCCGCTCATGCTAGCTCGCTCTTCTTCTTTTTTTCTTCTTTTTTTCTTTTTTTTTTTTCCTTCTGATACTGTACATTTAATTGAAGTCATTAGGTGCCCGGTTTCAAAGTTATATATGGTGGGAAGAATTCCTTATTGAGACAGTCAAATCCAGGAAATTTTCCATTTGCTGTGCTCGGAACAAAGATTAATGATGTGGACGGCGGCAATAGTAGAGTTGTATATGAGTAGAAGGCGCGAGCCTGGTTGTGCCTCAATTCTTAGATGCTATTCCTTCTCTTATTAAAAAGTAATTTACCTTTTATTTTGTTATTTGTACTAAAAATAACACCATTCACAAAATATAATATTGGCTATTTTTTGGGACAAAAAGAATGTAAGTTACATGATACCACTAAATGGGGTGACATTCATTATAAGAACATATGGGATTGTCAAAAATCAGCTGAAACTCATAATATTCTGATGTTTGAATTTTATGTTCATTGTCTAACAGGTCGCGACCTAACTGACGGTTAGACTCATGTAGCGATTTCTTCTCCTGAATAATTTTCTAAATTGTTTGATAGTGCATAACTAAATAAAGTTTTTTTAGGGTTTGTATGCGGACAATTTAGGGCTAGATTCACAATTATCTTGCTGATTAAAAATATTTGTTCTAGCTTTGTTGAGTTTAGGTAATAAAATTATTTGTTTCTTGGGGTGGACAGCTGATTTACATCATTATAACAAAGAGGCGCCAAACTATTTTAGGCGGGGCATTAAAAAAGATGAGCATGTTAAATTTAAATGAAAGAAAAAGAAGAGGAACCTTATTTTACAACACTTGAGATGTACAGTATATATAATTTTTGTGGGTCATAGGTTGACAAGTTCCATTGCTCTCGAAACCGGCTGAAATCAACAAAGGAAATTAAAACCGGAACGGTTAATCCTCTGTATCCAGTCGGGACCGATTTTGACTACATATGTTTAGGGGTTGATGCAGAAAAGGAAGAAAGAAGAAAAAAAAAAAAACTATATCCACTGGTGGACAGGGATTTGGATTGTAACCCAGTCGAAACTTATACAAGTCATAATAATAAGTTGCTGCTACATAGAAGAAAACAACAAATGATATTAGTTAACGAAAATATTCTTCCTCGCTTTCTCAAATAATTACCGTATCCATTTTTTTTTGTATAGTATTTAGGAGGAAAAAGTTTGGACTTCGGAATTTACAAAGTAGATGACATTGACAAATTGTTCGTCGACCTTGCTACCTATTACATTCTTACACATTGGGTCAATTAATTCTATTTACCTTTTCTACTTCTTAGTTCTTAGCCCTTAGCATGCACATGCCTTCGTCGTCTATTCTTCTTCTGGATTATCTTGTTTTTTAGTTTAGTTGTTGATCATGTCAAATGGTTAACTTCAAGAACAATTGCAGAGTTAAACTCTTAGTCTCTACATAGCAAAAGAGGGTACATTTTATCTAGGCCTGCCAGTTGGGCGGGTTAGGTCAATGGCGGGGTGGGTTAAGATGGGTTTGGGAGAAGGCGGGTCAAGACCCAACCCAACCCGCCATAAGCGCGGGTCAGGACGGGTTGGGTCAAGACGGGTTGACGCGGGTCGTGGGTCAGTTGCTCATTTTTAGCCAATATAATTTTTCGACCCGTACAGGTCAACCGGCGGATCATAACTTATTTTTTTTGTTTTTATTTGGTTAATTTACAAATTTTTAATTTTTGGCACAAAAAAAATACATCAATTTTAAAATTAAAATTTCTAACTTATAGTTGTATTTTAAAACTCGTTAGACCATAAATTTTTACGTTTCGAGCCAAGTTTTACTGAGTCGACCCGTGGACCGAACTGGATCGACCCAGTAATCAGGTCACGATATACTGGTCGAATTGAGATTTTTTTTTTCAAATAAAATCAATATTTACCTTTTAAAACTTGTTGGACTATAAATTTTTACATTTCGGGCCACGTTTAACTGGGTCGACCCATCAACCGGGTCACTATATACTAGTCGAATTGGTTTTTATGTAAAAAAAATCTATATTCACCTTTTAAAACTCGTTGAACTATAAATTTTTACATTTCGGGCCAAGTTTAACTGGGTCGACTCGTGGGCCGAACTGGGTCGACCCAGTAATCGGGTCACGATACGCTGGTCGAATTGAGATTTTTTTCAAATAAAATCTATATTTACCTTTTAAAACTTGTTGGACTATAAAATTTCACGTTTCGGGCCAAGTTTAACAGGGTCGACCCGTGGGCCGAACTAGGTTGACCAAGTAACTGGGTCATGATATGCGGGTCGAACTGAGATTTTTTTCCAAACAAAATCTATATTTACCTTTTAAAATTCATTGGACTACAAAAATTCACGTTTCGGGTCAAGTTTAACTGGATCGACCTGTAGACCGAACTGGGTCGACCAAATAACTGGGTCGGGATATGCGGGTCGAATATTTTTTTCCAAATAAAATCTATATTTATTTAAAAGGTACACTTGTATTTTATAACTCATTGGACTTATTTATGTACATATTACGTTGGTTTGCCTGGACAATTTTTGTCACTTCCGTGTTGGAATTATATTCTCTATTTTGTTGTATAGATTAGTATGTTTGGAACTTTGTCCTCTCATTTTATTATTTTATTGTTATATTTTTAAATCAAATATTTGTTTTTAATGTTATTCTTAATTATTGTAACTTTATTTGATACTCCATTTAAAAAACTTAGTTTTAGGGTAAGAAATCAACATTATATTGTACTAGTACAAAAATACTATTCTTAAACGACCAAGTTATAAACCTCCATTCAGTC